TTGAAATACACTTCAGTTTTCTCTTAAAAGATGCATGTATCATACTTGCTTTAAGCAAGTCATGTGGCCAAGCCTAGCATCATGGAGCCAGAAAGTATAGCCTTGCTGTCTATGTACGTCATGATGTATAAATTGATATATGTACATGAATTATAGAAACTTAGAGGTCATCTTTATTCAGTCTTATAATTTTTACATGAAGAATCTTAGACCTAGGAGAAGAAAAGAATTTTCTTTCTATTACCTAACTAGATTGGGGCATATTTCTGATAAAGACTCACCTCTAGTGAGATTCATCTTTTTTGTTTGTGTGACTATATTACATATGAGAAGAAAGATGGGATAGCTCAACTTCATTATATACCAAAGCAAAACACATGCCAAATGGTGACTACATTTTACCAACAAATTTAGACGAGTATTCTTGACTAGTGTTTACTATCTATACCCCCAAAACTACTACTATATAGACAGAATAGAAATTATTTCTAGTTGTCCTTTTGTTTTTTTCTATTCTAATTGTCATGGACATATGTAGTGGCTATAGGTTTACTTAAAAGGAATAAACTTGGATTGCTCATTTGGTTTATTTCCTTTCTAATTCTTCATATTTTTATGTGAGGAATGGAGATAATTTCCAACTTTTATTATGTTCTTATACTTTCATTCATTAGCATAGTTATTTGAGTTCCCATGAAACGTAGAGATTTGTCTCTAATTGCCATGATTAATACAATGAAGATGTGTATACATACAGGTATACCTTGGAAATATTGTGGGTTCAGTTTCAGACTACCACACAAAGCAAATATTGCAGTATATTGAGCCAGACAAATTTTTTTTGTTTCCCAAGGCATATAAAAATTAAATTATGTTTACACTATACTATAGTCTGTTTAATGTGCAATAGCATTATGTCTAAAAAAAGTATATACCTTAAATAAAAAATGCTTTATTGACAAAAAATGCTAATAATCTGAGCCTTCAACCATTTGTAGTGTTTTTGCTGATGCAGGGTCTTGCCTAATTTCAATAGCTACTGACTGGGGCGGTAATTACAGAAGAAGGGGGTGGCTGTGACAACTTCTTAAAACAAGACCACAGTGAAGTTTGCCACATCGATTGACTCTTCCTTTCAGGAAAATTTCTGTGTAGCATGCAATGCTTTTGATAACATTTTTTTCCTGAGTAGAACTTCTTTCAAAATTGAAGTTCATCCTCTTAAACCCTACCACAGCTTTATCAACTAAGGTTATGGAATATCTAAATCTTTTGTTATCATTTCAACAATGTTCATAGCATCTTCACTAGGGGGAGATTCCCTCATATTTTATTTATTTGTTTGTTTATTTATTTATTTATTTATTTATTTATTTATTTTTTCTGAGATGGAGTTTTGCTCTTGTTGCGCAGGTTGGAGTGCAATGGCGTGATCTCGGCTCACTGCAACCTCCGCCTCCCAGGTTCAAGCAATTCTCCTGCCTCAGCCTCCTGAGTAGCTGGGATTACAGGCATGCGCCACCACGCCTGGCTAATTTTGTATTTGTAGTAGAGATAGGGTTTCTCCATGTTGGTCAGGCTGGTCTCAAACTCGCCACCTCAGGTGATCCGCCCGCCTCAGCCCCCAAAAGTGCTGGGATTACAGGCATGAGCCACAATGTCTGTCCGAGATTCCCTCTTAAGAAACCACTCTTTGCTCATCCATAAGAAGCAACACCTCATCCATTCAGCTTTTGTTAAGAGATTGCAGCAATTCAATCACATTGTCAAACTCTACTTCTACTTCTTGTTTTCTTGCCATTTCCACCACATCTACAAGTATAAGATCATGAATTGCAGATCACAATAACAGACGTAATCATAATGAAAAAGTTTGAAATATTGAGAGGATCACCAGACTGTGACACAGATACACAAAGTAAATGCATGCTATTAGAAAAATGGCTCTGGTAGGCCCGGCATGGTGGCTCACACCTGTAATCCCAGCACCTTGGGAGGCCGAGGTGGGTGGATCGCTTGAGGTCAGGAGTTCAAGACCAACCTGGCCAACATGGTGAAACCCCGTCACTACTAAAAATACAAAAATTAGCTGGGCGTGGTGATGGGCACCTGTAATCCCAGATATTGGGGAGGCTGAGGCAGGAGAATCACTTGAACCTGGGAGGCGGAGGTTTCAGTGAGCCGAGACTGTGCCACTGCACTCCAGCCGGGGTGACAAAGCAAAAAAGACTGCATTTGATTTAATCTGATGCAACATAAAATGGAGCGCCATAAAATGTGCTATGCTTGCACTTATATGCAAAGTAGTGTAGCAGATGCTAATTTAGTAGATAATAAGTGTGCTTATGTTCCAATAACCCTTTTATCAGAAAGTATAACACTTAAATATATCCCTAGATACCAATAAGTTTTAATGACAACTAATACCGTAATGTTTATCACAATTGCTTGCACATACAAGAAGATCAACACATGGTCATGCAGTTGACTAAAACTATGCCAGAAAAATAATAACAAGGTTGAGAAGTGGGGAAGTAAGGCTGACAGGACTTGAGTTAAACCTAAGGAGAATGAAGAAGTCCTATCAATGATTAGATAGTAAAAAGGCAAGGCAGTCTGGATGGAAGGACTCATTAATATTAGCAGGCTTACTGGTGGTAAGTTAGGTGTGGTCCCAGATAGTGGAGCAAACTTGTCTGGTGGAGACAGGAGCTAGCATCCTTAGTACTGGGACTGGTGCCTGCAGCAGGAGCCATCTCCTAAAGAGAACAAGGTGTGGGAGAAAGAAAAGACTCAGTTTCTAGTGCTCTATTTCTAAATTACTCAGCAGACAACTTTCTCAGGCTTTCTATTAGGGTTTTCAGTTGAGGATGCTTACAAAAATTTTAAAGATTCACTCTCCCCACTCCACTCTAGCATCTTTCCACCTGCTTGCAGACAAAATTTTAAGTAGGAAATCCACAAAGAGAGTAAAAGTGTTTTAAATTTACGTAAGTAGTGGAAATAACAATATAATACAAATGGGTTCTAGTTTAAAAAATCAGGCAGCAAATGCTAGGGAACTTCAAAGAGTTCATGGAAAAACTGAAAGATAAAAATAGGCCAGGGCTGGGCACAGTGGCTCAAGCCTGTAATCCCAGCACTTTGGGAGGCTAAGGTGGGTGAATCACTTGAGGTCAGGAGTTGAAGACCAGCCTGGCCAATGTGGTGAAACCCCATCTCTACTAAAAAGACAAAAAACTAGCCAGGTATGGTGGTGCACGCCTGTAATCCCAGCTACCTGGGAGGCTGAGACAAGAGAATCACATGAACCCGGGAAGTGGAGGTTGCAGTGAGCTGAGATCATACCATTGCACCCCAGCCTGGGTGACAGAGCAAGACTTCGTCTCGAAAAAAAAAAAAAAAAGCCAAGTGTGGTGGCTCACACCTGTAATCCTGAAACTTTGGGAGGCCAAGGCAACAGGATCACTGGAGCCCAGGAGGTCGAGGCTACAATGAGCCATGATCTTGCCACTGTACTCCAACCTGGGCAATAAAGTGAGACCCTTTCTCAAAAAAGAAAACAGATAAAAATACAAAACATAAACTTTATTTTTCAGCATAAGCTCCATCGAGTTTAAGACACTTTTGTAAGCAATGATACCATCCAATTAGTCCATTCCACAATAAATGATGGTCCTGGATATTTAATCATATTATTGCAGTCTTTTTATTAACTAAAGAAAAATGGGTGCCCCTTTGAAGTTATTTTTTTTAAAGATTAGGAAACAAGAAGTCAGAAGAAGCCAAATTAGAACTCTAAAGTGGATGTCTAATGATTTACCGTCAAAATTCAAAATTGCCCTTGTTTGATGAGAGGAATAAGCAGGAGCATTGTCCTAGTGGAGAAGCAATCTCTGGTGAAGCTTACCTGGGCATTTTTCTGCTAAAACTTTGCCTGTTTCTAAACACTCTCATAATTTTTTTTTTTCTTTTTGTAGAGGTAGGTTTTGCTATGTTGCCCAGACTGGTCTTGAACTCCTGGCCTCAGTGGATCCTCCTGCCTTGGCCTCCAAAAATGCTGAGACTACAGGCATAAGCTACTGTACCCAGCCTCAAAACACCATTATAATAAGCAGGTTATTGTTATTTGGCTCTCCAGAAAGTCAACAAGAAAAATGCTTTGAGCATCCCAAAAAACAGTTGCTACGACCTTTGCTTTTGACTGTCCAGTCCACTTTTATTTTGACTGGACCGCTTCCACTTCTTGGTAGCTATTGCTCTGTTTGTGCTTTATCTTCAGGATTATTTTGGTAAAGCCATGTTTCATCTGCTGTTACAGTTCTTGGAAGAAATCCTTCAGGATCTTGATCCCACTTGTTTAAAATTTTTATTGAAAGGCAACTGAAATTTTAAGTAGAAAACCCACAGAGAGAACAAAAATACTCTTGTCTGTAGCTGATCTGGGTGCAATAGTTTCAGTACTCATCACGTGGAAAGTTTGCTCAAGTTTAATTTTTCTGTCAACATTGTGTAAGCTGAACCAACTGAGACATCTATGGTGTTGGATATTGTATTAGTCCATTCTCGCACTGCTATAAAGAACTACCTGAGGTCGGGCACAGTGGCTCATACCTGTAATCCCAGCACCTTGGGAGGCCAAGGCGGGTGGATCACCTGAGGTCAGGAGTTCGAGACAAACCTAGCCAACATGGTGACACCCCGTATCTGCTAAAAATACAAAACCTTCCTGGGCGTGGTGGCAAACGCCTGTAATCCCAGGTACTCACGAGGCTTAGGCAGGAGAATCACTTGAACCTGGGAGGCAGAGGGTGCAGTGAACCGCGACAGCGCCACTGCACTCCAGTCTGGGTGACAAGAGCAAAACTCGGTCAGAAAAAAAAAAGAATTACCTGAGAGTGGGTATTGTATAAAGAAAAGAAGCTTGATTCACAGTTCCACAAGCTGTACAGGAAGCATGTCTGTGAGCCTCAGGAAACTTAAAATCATGGCAGAAGGGGAAGAAAGCACATCTTCACATGGCCAGCAGGAGACAGCATGTGAAAAGGGAGGTGCTACACACTTTCAAACAACCAGATCTCATGAGAACGCTATCATGGGACAGCACTAGGGTGATGGTGCTAAACCATCAGAAACCATGCACATGATCCAGTCTCCTCCCTAGATGTCCCTCCTCCAACACTTCCTCTCATTACACTTCTACACGAGATTTGGGTGGGGACACAGAGACAAACCATATTAGATATTGTCTGTGCTATAATCGCTGGTTCTCTTCAATGAGGGCACAAACAAGATTAATTTTTTCTTCACAAATTGCTGTGAATGGTCTGCTGCTGTTGGCTTCATCTTCAACATTGTCTCGTCTCTTAAAATGAGTTATCCATTTGTAAACTGCAGATCTCCTTGGGATATTGTCCTCATAACCTTTACGTGAAGCATCAGTGATTTCACCATTCTTCCACCCAAACCTCACCATAAATTCAATGTGTGTTCTTGTTTCAATTTTATCAGAATTCATGTTTCTCTGATAAAAGAGCTCTTTTCTAAATGTCTTATCTTTGTTAGTGTCCCTCACTAGATCCTGTTGAGACATGTTATAAAAAGTCAGTTTATTCTGGTGCAAAAAAAATTTGAAATTCACACTTTTTTATAACATATTTTCCTTGAAAATTTTGAAGAACCCTTATATAGATGAATGATAGATTATCAAAGTTTTCCTAAATTTGTCAGGCTTTATTCTTCACAGTTTTCAAATGAAAGGGCTTGGAGAAACCAAAGAACTAAAAGGGTTGCAGATAGAGTCCTGAAGGGAAAGAAAAATTGATATACTCACATCTTCGACCTGGGCAACAAAAGTTATGAGTCAAGATATTTGGTCACATAACCGTAAAGATAAATTAGGTTTTATGACATTTTTGTTTTTTGTTTTGTTTTTGTCATTTTAAAATAGGGACGTTTTAACTGAAATATCAATGAACAGTCCCATTCCCTATTCTCACCATTGGTACAGTGGATCTTGTTTTTCTTAATGTGGTACATATTAATAAAATTTATGAGATCTAAGGTCTATTGCATTTGAAAGATTAACCAACATAAACGGTATACTTTTATAAAACTCGTTAAAATGACAAAAACAGTTTCACATTTTTGAAAAACAAAATGATCTAAAATACTTAATATGAACTGGCATTACCTTGAACACATTGCATCATGATTACATGAAAGAGCTGCTGAAACGGTCATGTGTTTGGAGACTACTACATCTGTAAGCTTAATAGTAAACAGTTGTTTGGTTGGTTGGTTGGTTTGCTGCTTAGCATCAGGACACCCACTCCTTGTGTGGGAAATGTACAATTGTGTGAGTCTATGGGTTGAAACCCAAAAAGCCTGATGCTTTTTCTCATTCCTGGCAACCGAGGGATATGACCAAATTGGGTCAATTGAATGCCCTTGCCCCTAACTGAACAGAGACTAGTGTTACAAAGAAGGAATAAGAGATTGGAATCAATGCCAGTGTCTTTCCATTGCCCCATTGCGTCAGGGTCCAAGTATCCAGGAGCTGTGGTCCCTTAACCAGCCTGTACCTTTGGCCATGGCACCAGCTACCTACTTTCCCTATGTTCCCAAGTGATCTGGTAACCATTCAGGAAATTATTTTCCTACTTAAGTATACAAAAATCAGTGTCAGCTTTTGCTTGACAGATTCAATCATCCTTCAGAGATGTAGGAAAACTATTAGCAGCCAAGGGATGCTGCCAAGGCCAGTGTCTGGACTCTGCAGTTTTCTAACTTGTGATATTGGGTCACCCCACTAAGTTCCAGGAGAGCAGCAACTGCATCTGGCTTAATCATTATGGGGTGGCCAGCTCCCAACTCCATGCCCTAGGCAAACAGACATTCAGTGAGTATTTATTTGACTTTGACTTGATTGAAGAAAATAGTAACACTTGAACTCTAGGTGTCCTCAGTATCTATTACAGATTTCTTGATCCTGACTGCTTTAAAAAAATTTTTTTTTTTTTAAACAAGAAAACTAACGAATGATGACCCTAAGCTTTAAATTCAAGTAAATAGAGGGCTGGTTTTTTTGTTGTTTGTTTTTTTGTTTGTTTTGTTTTGTTTTGTTGCATAAGCAGAAATGAGGAAGTCAAGAGGAAGAGATTAGATTTCTGTTGTGATAAATCGAATCTGCTAAATGCCAGGGCTTTTTAATTGTCTTAATCACAAGTTAAACCAGTTGTGTTGCTGCCTAGATGGCTATATATTTGTTTAAAAGTACAACAGTCCCTCCTACTGGACTTTGATCCTGCAAAAACAACTGTTATCTAACTCACCCTCAGTCTGTCACTGGAACACCTGCATGAAGAATGTTCTTTCATTTTTTAAAAAAGATTTTGCATATATGATTTATGTCAGCTTTCAAAATGATTAGAAAACTTTTTATTGTTCTACTTTTGCTGCTTGTGACTATAGAAGAAGCAAGGATGTCATCTCTCAGTTTTCTGAATATAGAGAAGACGGAAATACTATTTTTCACAAAGACTGAAGAAACCATCATTGTAAGTTCAAGATACGAAGATAAACAGCCTAATTCCAGCCACCTCTTTGTGAAAATAGAAGATCCTAAAATACTACAAATGGTGAATGTGACCAAGAAGATCTCATCAGATGCTACAGACTTTACCATAAATCTGGTGACAGATGAAGAAGGAGAAACAAATGTGACTATTCAACTCTGGGATTCTGAAGGTAGGCAAGAAAGACTCATTGAAGAAATCAAGAATGTGAAAGTCAAAGTGCTCAAACAAAAGGACAGTCTTCTCCAGGCATCAATGCCTATTGATAGAAATATCCTAATGCTTATATTACCACTAATACTATTGAATAAGTGTGCATTTGGTTGCAAGATTGAATTACAGGTGTTTCAAACAGTATGGAAGAGACCTTTGCCAGTAATTCTTGGGGCAGTTACACAGTTTTTTCTGATGCCATTTTGTGGATTTCTTTTGTCTCAGATTGTGGCATTGCGTGAGGCGCAAGCTTTTGGAGTTGTAATGACCTGCACGTGTCCAGGAGGGGGTGGGGGCTATCTCTTTGCTCTGCTTCTAGATGGAGATTTCACATTGGCCATTTTGATGACTTGCACATCAACATTTTTGGCTTTGATCATGATGCCTGTCAATTCTTATATATACAGTAAGATATTAGGGTTGTCAGGTACATTCCATATTCCTGTTTCTAAAATTGTGTCAACACTCCTTTTCATACTTGTACCGGTATCAATTGGAATAGTCATCAAGCGTAGAATACCTGAAAAAGCAAGCTTCTTAGAGAGAATAATTAGACCTCTGAGTTTTATTTTAATGTTTGTAGGAATTTATTTAACTTTCGCAGTGGGATTAATGTTCTTAAAAACAGATAACCTAGAGGTGATTCTATTGGGTCTCTTAGTTCCTGCTTTGGGTTTGCTGTTTGGGTACTCCTTTGCTAAAGTTTGTATGCTGCCTCTTCCTGTTTGTAAAACTGTTGCTATCGAAAGTGGGATGTTAAATAGTTTCTTAGCCCTTGCCATTATTCAGCTGTCTTTTCCACAGTCCAAGGCCAATTTAGCTTCTGTGGCTCCTTTTACAGTAGCCATGTGTTCTGGATGTGAAATGTTACTGATCATTCTAGTTTACAAGGCTAAGAAAAGATGTATCTTTTTCTTACAAGATAAAAGGAAAAGAAATTCCCTAATCTAACAATTAAAGCATTACTGAATTCCTACTCTGGGTAGGGCACTGTGGGAGAGTAAAAGAATAACTACAATGATACCTGCTCTTAAGCCACTTATAATCTAATTAAAAATCTGACATTAGGGGTAGAGAATACACACACACACACACACATATCCGTACATGCTAAGTACTCAATGAGTGGTGGAAATTATAACACAAAAGTTCAGAGGAAGGAGACAACTTTTTTTTTTTTTGAGACAGAGTCTCGCTCTGTCGCCCAGGCTGGGGTGCAGTGGCACGATCTCGGCTCACTGCAAGCTCTGCCCCCCAGGTTCACACCATTCTCCTGCCTCAGCCTCCCATGAAGCTGGGACTACAGGTGCCCGCCACCACGCCCAGCAAATTTTTTTTTTTTTTTTTTTTTTTTTTTTTTTTTTTGTAGAGACGGGGTTTCACTGTCTTAGCCAGGATGATCTCGATCTCCTGACCTCGTGATCCGCCCACCTTGGCCTCCCAAAGTGCTGGGATTACAGGCATGAGCCACTGCACCTGGCCGGAAGGAGACAACTTTGCAACTGTGTTGGTTTGAGAATGTTTTGTAGGCTGTGATGTGAATATGATACTTTCAGTGGTCTCCTATATGATCAACGTTAGATTTTAGGAAAATTAATCTGACAGTGAGTAGAGGGTGGAGAGAGAGGCCACAAGCCAATTTAGAAAGGTTTAGGGAAGAAGCAATATAGTGCAAAAAAAAAAAAAAGTGATAGCACTGAGAATTGAGAAGAGCACTGGCAATTGAATTATAGGCTGTTTCTGTAGGAAATGCATTCACTATAAAGAAAGAAAGAAGACAGAAGAGAAACGAGGTCGAAGAGCTGACCCTGTGTTGCAGGGTAAACAGTAATGCCTTTGGTAGGTTAAGATGGAAGACAGGGGAAAGCTCAGCTCTGAGGGCAGAGATGCCACATTTACTTTAAAACATACTCATTTTGATGTGCTAATGAGAGCTCCAAATAGAAATTTACAAATTCATTCACTGAGTGAGAATTTACCAAATGTCTGCTATATAGGTGTTCCTTCTTTAAATACCTAGGATATATCATAATCACTAAAGAAGTTTTCAGTTGCTCCCTCCAAGAGGGAAGTCTCCTTAGGGAAGGTTGGAAGAGTGAGGAGCTGGACATCATGCCAGGAAGCAGAGTTTGTGTTGCTGTCCCCTCCCGCCCACAACCACCTGGGCACAGCAGATATTCTTAGGTTTAGGAACAATGGCTGCAGATGGGACTGTAGTTTTAAAAACTGCCCCTTTGGGAACTCAAGGGCCATGCATCCTGTACTGAGGTCTCTGCAGCCATGTGAACTACCTTCAGAGCATCAGAGAAAAGATCCTTTAGATTTGTGAGACCAGTTTCCAGCCCTGCTATATTCGAGCCTGAACACTAAGACTTCCCTGTGCATCAGCAGATTTTTACTTCCTTCACTTTCAGTAAGGCATTTGGAAGCAGAACAGCCTCTTCAGACTGAAAAATACTGAGTTACCTGAGAACAAATGTGAAGTAGACGTTGAGGTGAGGCCTCTTGGAAAAACTGGACTTCCTGCTCACCTGACATAGGAAGCTTGAAAAGTTTTAATTTGAAGGGATAAGCTATTTGATATTTAGTTTATTTTACTTCAAACTGTTTATGCTGATTTTAGCAGTTTTTTCAAGTCACTGAAACCGTATTCATTTACATGAACTTAGATGACTGATGACTTTTCTGCCAAAACTTGGGAAATATTAGTTGGTTACGAATGAACACTTGTCAGCATGCAGTTGGCAATATTTTTATTTTAAGAAGATTGGCAATGAAGAACCGAAAAACTAGCCTTGGAAGCCTTTTGTTTTTTTTTTTTTTAATTTAAGAAAATTAAAGTATCATTTGATAGGCATCCAAGCCAGATACCTAAAGCATCACTTTTTTTGATTAAAGACGTGTGTTGGTCCTTGTGAGGTGTGAGAATTGAGTCCAGTCCAAATCACTCGTCTCTATGACATTTCATTTGAAACATATTGGTGACATTTTGTCTTTTGATTAAATAAAGAGAAACACTAAAGTGAAAAGCCAAATAACTAACTTACTTTCCTGGTCCAGTTGTAGCTAGGACATCTTATATCTGTGCGATGCTTTTTGCACTATGATGATGTATGTACCACGATGTCACTCTTTCTTTCTTTCTTTTTTGAGATGGAGTTTTCACTTTTGTTACCCAGGCTGTAGTGCAATGGTGCTATCTCAGCTACTTCAACCTCCACCTCCCAGGTTCAAGCGATTCTTCTGCCTCAGCCTCCTGCGTAGCTGGGATTATAGGCACCCACCACCATGCCGGGCTAATTTTTTTATTTCTAGTACAGACAGAGTTTCACCATGTTGACCAGGCTGGTCTTGAACTTCTGACCTCAGGTGATCCACCTGCCTTGGCCTCCCAAAGTTAATGGAATTACAGGCGTGAGCCACTGCACCTGGCCAACTCTTTCAAGAAGAAAAAACATTTTAAGACCATAACTAGTCCTTGTACCTCATATAATGTGATCTGATTGTGCCATATATTCCCAGTGTGTAAACTTTTGTAGGGCCAAAGAAAAAACTTCCCTTTTGTCCTCTGAAGGTTTGCTGAACATCAACCAACAAAGGCAGATAAATAGAAGAAAAGGATTTTATTTCATCATAGTTTTATGTGACTTGGGAGCCTTCAGAATGAAGACCCAAAGGTATAAGGGGGCAGTCCATTTTATGCTTAATTTCAACAATGTATGGACAGCTGTGTAGAATATGGTTGGACAAAGAGGGTATAATCTAATGCTATTAGACGGGGAAATCCAGTAAGACCTGTCTGCTTAGATTCTTCTTGGCCTCTCTCCATAGGACCCTCTTTGGAATGGGGGTCTTATGACCTAAACTCAGACAGGGTGAGTCATATAATTTCTTTGTGGTCAGATTTTACATAGAAACAGGGAGAATGCTACAGTTTTATATATATATATATAAAATTTATTTATTTTTTATTTTTTTATTTTTTTTAGATGGAGTCTCGCTCTGTCACCCAGGCTGGAGTGCAGTGGTGTGATCTCGGCTCACTGCAAGCTCCACCTACCGGGTTCATGCCATTCTCCTGCCTCAGCCTCCCGAGTAGCTGGGACTACAGGCGCCCGCCACCACTCCTGGCTAATTTTTTTGTATTTTTAGTAGAGATGGTGTTCCACCATATTAGCCAGGATGGTCTCCATCTCCTGACTTCGTGGTCCACCCACCTCGGCCTCCTAAAGTGCTGGGATTACAGGCGTGAGCCACCTTGCCCGGCCTAGAGTAGTATTTTAACGTTTTATGGCTGGCTTTATAAAAAAGGGATCCTGATTTCTGGGACCTGATGTGAGAAAGAGGAATTCTAGTTTCTGTGACTAGTCTAGGGAAGAATGTGGGACCAGAGATAGGAGAGCAAAAGGAGTCAGAAAAATTTTTGCTTCTAAGGCTGCTTCTGATGCCTTTATTGTGGGGTATCATTTTCTGAACCCCAAAACTTTGAACTCAGTGTGTTTCACTCTCTGCTCTTGCTGTGTGACCTGAGGACGAATCACTTAACTACCCTGAGCCTCAGTTTCCTCATCTGTCTGACAAAGCTAATCATACCTTTTTCAAGAAACTGTTAAAACTTTAAGGAAAATAATGCATATAAAAACACAATTCTGCCAGGCGTAGTTGCTCACGCCTATAATCTTTGGGAGGCCGAGGCAGGCGGATCACTTGAGTCCAGGAGTTTGAGACCAGCTTGAGCAACATGGTGAAACCCTGTCTCTACAAAAGAAACAAAAATCAAGCGGGCGTTGTGGCAGGCGTCTGTAATCCCAGCTATTCAGGAGGCTGAGGCATGAGAATCGCTTGAAACCGCGAGGCGGACGTTGCAGTGAGCCGAGATCGCACCATTGCACTCCAACCAGGGCGACAAAAGTGAAATTCCGTCTCAAAAAAACAAAAAAACACCACACAATTGATTGAAGCATAGTAAGTCCTCAATAAATAGTATGTAAGAAAATTATCAATAATTGGGCAGATGGTCCTGGTGATCAGTTATTTTTATTATTATTTTTTAATCTAGTATAGGTTTACCAGCTTTAGGTTAGCACCTAAAAACTGCACAATCGGAATCATATCTGCAATCTGGGTTTTGTCAAAATAGTACTATAGAGTAAATGGGAGAAAGAAGAAAGCAAGCTAAATGGGAAACTGTGAATGAATGGAGGATGAAAGAAGAAAACGGCAAAATAGAAAAGTAATTTTTAAAACTTGAGAGATGAAAAGGCAAGCAGGAGAAAAGAACCGGAAGCGATAAAGAAGAGGCAGTGTCTGATGCTCCAGCGCGGATCAGAACCCGGCCGGGCCTGGCAGAGGCTCGCAGGGCGCAGCTCGGGGCGGGGCCCAGCAAAGCAACCACGCCCCCTCAGGAACCGAGTTTTTAAAGGCGGAACTTCCTGTTGCGAGTAGCTCCTCTACCTCCGGAAGAGCCGAGCGTGATAATACCAGGCACAGAGCTAGCCGGACGTCCTCCAACCCAAGGTGAGACCGTTATTTTCCTCACGCTCCCCTCGCCACACCCTCCGGGTTCAGCGGGCGCTGTGTGTTTCCCGAGCGGCCCCTTCCCTCCGCAGGGGCGGGGGCGAGCGCTGTGCGCGGTAGGCGCCTAGGGCGGAGGCCGCCTTTGGGTGACCCCTGCCTGCCGCGTTATCCGGAGCTACCCTGGGCGACCAGGAACAGTTCCGACATTGGAGTAGCGGTTCGCTTACGCGACCTCACTTAACCTCTGTGGCGGCTTCTATAGAATAATTGCCCCTTTTCATGTCCCCAACTCCGAAAAGCTCCGAGAAACTTGGTGCATCCCCAGGCCGAGGTAGTCACTCTTAAGTGATGGGGCAGCGCCCAGGTCCTGTGCTGCCGCAGTCGCGCTGCTGGGACAGGTGGCCTGGCTCCCACACTGGAAGGCTGTGACCAGGACTGAAACAGCAGAAACAGTTCAGGTGTTTATGGCTCTGGGAAAATGAAAGTGAGTAAACTACGGACCCTGCCCATCAATAAATATACTGTGATTTATAGAGATATAACTATATGTTATATATAACTATATAAAAAAAGATATATAAAATGTACTTATATACTTTATACATAGTATATAAATATTCTTATGTATAGTATATTTACTTATATATAGTATATATATAGTGTGTATATATCTTAAGTGTGTGTGTGTGTGTGTATATATATGGTTTTCATCCACCATTCCTGGCTCATAACTCCCATAGCCCTTGACAGGAATCTTGGCCCACCTTTCTGTCTTAGAACTGACCATGAAGAAATTCTCTGACCTACCTTGTCTGGTTGTAGATCTTAAGACCCCCATTTCAGTAGGGGTCTTGCCCCATATACAGGAGAAAGGAATGCTGGACAGAGGCCAAGATGAATCTGAAGACAGTCCTTGCTGGGTTTCCACAGTCAGTCTGCTCCATTTGGATCATACTGATTTTGTGGGATCACATTTCTACGCAGTTGTCAATCATGCCTATCCAACGATGTCCAGACTCAGGACCTCAGTTGCTGTCTGCTCAAGTAACTTACATGTTTCTATCTGCAGGCCATACCTGTGCGCTCAGGATCCATGATTTAGCTGCATAACTGACATCTTTTGATTTTACGGATCCATGATTTAGCTGCATAACTGACATCTTTTGATTTTACAGAGGCCTCTCATCTTCTGCTAATTAAACTCCTGATCTCTCAAACTCCTACCTATATCCCAAACTTGACTCTTTTTTTCTTGCTCCCTGTTTCAGTAGACTGTGACCATTATCCATACAGTTGCCAGAGTGGGAAATCTGGACTCTTCCTGTCCCTGGTACTCTGTAGCCAATCTGTTACTGATTTCCTCAAAACAGGTATCTCTTGACTCTCTTAACTTCTCTAACAGCAAAGCTTCCCTCCCAGGTTTCAGCCAATCATCAGGTATCCTCCCACCACTGCATCCTGAATGTAAATCTGCTAACCCTGTATCCACACCCATTTTCTACCCTTCTATTCAGTAGCCACAATGAAGTGATTCCTGAAGCCTCTTCAATCAGTGTCTTATCCGTAAGGCCCCCCTGTAGGGGATGATCCCCACTACCTCCCCAGCTTTATTCCTCCTGTTTCCCTTAGTCTGAGCTGTCACACTTAGGCCCTTCAGTTAGTCTTCATGCACCAGGCATCCTGCAGTTGAGTGAGTTCATGCGTGTTCACTTGTTCTTCTCCTCTTGGTTTAATCTTGTCTTCAGGGAAACCTGATCTGATGCCTAAGTCCAGGTGAAACCTCCCTTTTAGACGCTTCTGATTGCACTTCTCCTCCTTAACTTTTATTATTCCAGTTGTTATTTTGCATGTAGTCTTTAGTTTTTTATTAATATTGAGTCCCTCCTGGAAAGTGTGAACAGGACCTGATTTTCCTCCCCATGGTGCAGTGTATAGCATATTATAGGTATTCAGTAAACATCTATTGAAGGGTGAAGGACATAGTGACTTCTGGGTGGAGAATCCCTAGAAGAGACAGTAGCTTTTGAAATGGGTCCTGAAGAATTTGTAGAGTTACATTAGTGCTGTTAGAAGGCAGGAGTGTGAGTGGCTTGAGCTGTTTCTGGCAGGAAAGCAGGTACAGCTTGAGAACATCTAGTTCTGTTAAGACTAGTGGAGCAGAATGGGAGTAAGAGTGGAAAAAAAAAGTTTGGAAACAATTCGTGAAGAGCTTTAAGGAGTTGCTTATATGACTCACAGAGTGGCTTCCTTTAAAACAAAATTTTAAAAAATGTTTTATCAGGTAGAAATTTGGCGTGTGGGTCTTTTGCCCTTCCTTTCCACTCCTGTCCTCTTTCCTATAATGTGGGCCCCAAGATGAATAGTCTTCAAGATGTGACTCTGTGTCTATTATTTTCTATTGGAAAGGAGACAAAATTAGGGTTGCTTTTTAAATGGTGCCACAGTTTTTAGTCTGACAGCTTAAAAAGCTTTACTGTGCTAGATGCAGACTTCAGAGTGTGATCAAGCCAGTGGTGAGTTATTTTAGTCTTCAGAAGTCAGTGGAAAGCTGGACAGTTTGGAACACAAATACATGTTCGTTTTTTTTTCCCCCCTCTCTGAAACTCAGGGAAACAAATTTGCTTTTTTATTATTTTTTTGGTCCTGGAATTTTCCTTTCTCAGAATGTTATAGTACAAAGAGCAATGGACTTTAAAATCAGAATTGAGTTCAAGTTCTGTGTCAGTTGTCTGTAATTTTGGGAAAATTATTTCTCATCTCTGAGCCTTAAGTTCTTCATCTTTACACGTAATTTTTTGAGTACCTTTTGCTGTTTCCCTTCAAGGTTCTTTTTTAGTATTCCCAGTGTTCTTTCTCTTGTTTTCACTTTATTCTCCTCCCAAATATTATGCTAACTTTTAAAGTATTTCTTGCGTTGTTTCTTATCTATTCTCCAAACGAATGTTTTTTTTTTTTTTTTTTTTTTTTTTAAAGTGTAATATGGTATGGACACACTGGGAAACAATTTCATAGAATAGTCTTTATTATGAAAACATTTTAATATAGAAATGAGGTAATTTAGGTGAGAAATGTTTTTTACTGGGTATAGGTATAAATCTTGGGAAAAACTCTAGGGCAGGGGGTGAATCCTGAAATGACAGTCTGTTTCTAATTAAGATGCTTTTGTGAACTAACTATTCTATAATTAAGAGTACTAAGACAGTTGTAACTACTTTGTACAGATATTTGTCAAATATTTTCAGAAGATGGCTGATCCTTGGCAGGAATGCATGGATTATGCAGTAACTCTAGCAAGACGAGCTGGAGAGGTATGAGCTAAGATTTTGTCAGTTATAATGTGATTGGTGGGGACACTGTGTTGTTGCCTTGTTTTGTTTGTTTTGGTTTGGTTTCTTTTTTTGAAACGGTCTTGCTTGTCACCCAAGCTGGAATGTAGTGGCGGGATCATGGCTCACTCCAGTCTCAACTTCCCAGGCTTGGGCTCAAGCAGTCCTCCCACTTCAGCCTCCTGAGTAGCTGGGACTGCAGCAGGCATGAGCCACCATGTCCAGCTACTTTTCATTTTTTAAATTTTTGTTTGGAGATGAGGGTCCAGGCTGGTCTTGAATTCCTGGACCACCTTGGTCTCCCAAAGTGCTGGGATTACATGTGTGAACCACCACACTCAGCCTGCCTTGTTAAATAAAATACATAGTTTGATCAATCTACATTTATTTTCATTTTACTAAATACTTGAAATAGAGCATATACCCTGATTTTATATGATCAAATTTTCTGTGATGACAGTTGTGAATCTAAAATAAGATGTAAGATTATATAATTTTTGTTTTTAGAAAGACGTAACTATTAAAGGCTTATTTTATAGATGTAAGACATTTTTAAGAATGTCTTTAAAGAATATTATTTAAGACAGATTGAATGTCTTAAACCATTTATGTATTTTTATCTGTTTGTTTAAAATTATGCCTTTTCTATTTGCTTACCAAAACCTCTTTTTAGGTAGTTTGTGAAGCTCTAAAAAATGAAATGAATGTTATGCTGAAAAGTTCTCCAGTTGATTTGGTAACTGCTACAGACCAAAAAGTTGAAAAAATGCTTATCTCTTCCATAAAGGAAAAGTATCCATCTCACAGGTATTTTGATTTATTCTGTACAGGAAATGTTTATTATCTCACCTTTGGGGTTCTGCATATGAGAGTAGCTTGACTACATGGGTCTTGCTAAGGTCTTCCATGAAGTTACAGTCAAAGTGTTGGTCAGAGCTGCAGTCAACTGAAGGTTGGACTGGAACTCAAGGATCCATTCAGTCATGTGATTGTTGGCAGATGTCAGTTCCTGGGGGAGTTGTCTGCTGGTAGCTTCTCTCAGTTCCTTACCATGTAGCCTCTTTACAGAGTAACTCACAACGTGGAAGCTAACATCTGGTCCGGTGCAGGTGGCACAGGGAGGGAGAAACAGTCTGAACCAGATGCAAATTAGAGGGGCATTTTGTGAACAAGTCTCCAAAGTTTTGTATACTGTCACTTACACTTTATTGGTTAGAAACAAGTATCTGTGCATAGCTCACACTCAAGGAAGGGATATTAGGCTCTGCCTCTTGAAGGGAGGAGAATATTAGAGAGTGTCTGGACCTTTTTTTAGTCAGATTCTCGCTCTGTCACGCAGGCTGGAGTGCAGTGGCACGATCTCGCCTCACTGCAACCTCCACCTCCCAGGTTCAAGTGATTCTCCTTCCTCAACCTCCTGAGTAGCTGGGATTACAGGCATGCACCACCATGCCTGGCTTATTTTTGTGTTTTTAATAGAGACAGGGTTTCACCGTGTTGGTCAGGCTGGTCTCGAACTCCTGACCTCATGATCTGCCCGCCTTGGCCTCCCAAAGTGTTGGGATTACAGACATGAGCCACCACACCTGGCCCCTATTTTAAACATCATTACATTTCCTTAATGATTTCTCGTCTGCTGCAAATGTGTGTGTGGACGCACCTTACCCTGGTATAACATCTTAGAATTTGAATTTTGAAATTTTTCTGCGGGAAAGAAATTAAAACTTCCTTACATTTATCAGTCTTTACCTGAAGGAAGAAGAAGCAACAATAGAAAAGTGTAGGGTACAGACTTTTGCTATGTTTTTTTGTTTGTTTGTTTGTTTGTTTTTGTTTGTTTTCCTGAGACAGAGTCTCGCTCAGTTACCCAGGCTGGAGTGCAGTGGCACAATCTCAGCTCCCTACAACCTCCACCTGCCAGGCTAAAGCCATTCTCCTGCCTCAGCCTTCCAAGTTGCTAGGATTACAGGTGCCTGCCACCATGCCTGGCTAATTTTTGTATTTTTAGTAGAGACAGGGTTTCACCACGTTGGCCAGGCTGGTCTTGAACTTCTGCCTCAGGTGATCTGCCCGCCCCAGCCTCCCAAAGTGCTGAGATTACAGACGTGAACCCCCACGCCTGGCCTGCTATGTTTTATAGTACTCTGTGTAGCTAAGGAAATGTTATGATTTGGAAATTGTTGAAATCAATGTAAAGATTAAAAGTTTGTCCTGCTTGCTTTTAGTTTCATTGGTGAGGAATCTGTGGCAGCTGGAGAAAAAAGTATCTTAACCAACAACCCCACATGGATCATTGACCCTATTGATGGAACAACTAACTTTGTACATAGGTATGTTTTTAAATTTCTAATATAATTACTCTTTGCATATTAACTGGATTGACCTGTAGATACTCTGTTTAGGAACATGTACACTTTAGAAAATTGTATACTTTGTTTATGCTTCTTTATTCTAATAAAGTGTATATAAAATGTAATAGTGGAGCAAAATGTATTATGCAGACTTATCAGATATGGAGGAGGTAAAGAAATATTAATGTGATCTTGTCCTGTGGTGCCAAGTGCCCTGTTCACCATTCTTTTTCCCGCGTTGGCGCTATCTAAAAAGGGAAGCAAACAACATTGCTGCTTTGAGAGTGGGAAGGGCACTTTGCCCTGAATGCCATTTTCTGTTCTTTGAGTGGCACATACCATAGATTTATATGGATCTACTAATATGGATCTATTAGTAGTAACTATGTAAAAATATGTTTTGTTTGTTTCTGTTTTGTTTTTTGAGATGGAGTTTCGCTCTTGTTGGCCAGGCTGGGATGCAATGGCACGGTTTCGGCTCACTGCAACCTCCACCTCCCAGGTTCAAGCGGTTCTCCTGCCTCAGCCTCCTAAGTAGGTGGGATTACAGGCACCTGCCACCACGCCCGACTAATTTTTCTATTTTTAATAGAGGCAGGGTTTCACCAGGTTGCCCAGGCTGGTCTTGAACTCCTGACCTCAGGTGATCACCTGCCTCAGCCTCCCAAAGTGCAGGGATTACAAGCGTGAGCCACTGCACCTGGCCAAAAATATGTTTTCAAAAAATAAAAATAAATTTTAAAAATTTAAACTATGTTAAAAAAAATGTATTTTAGTAAAACTAATGCAGTCACTCTTGGAGAGTGTTGTCGACATAGAATGAGTTCAGTCCAGGAGTGAAAAGCAGGGTTAAAAAGTGCAGGGGAGGCCCCTCCCCTTAGCCCTTAGGGGGATGGGGTTGGGGCCGGGACCAGCAAAAAAAAAAAAAAAAAAAAAAAAAAAATTGCTTGGATGTTAGGATCAATAGACTTGCATTCTGGTGCTTTTTTGCTGGCTTTTTCACCTTAGGCAAGTTAGTTAACCTTTCTAGGCCACAGTATTAAAAAACATTTATAAAAAGGCCATATTAATAGTACTTGCCTCGTAGAATTGCAACTCAACTCTACGAATAGTACATTCATATAAGAACTTAGTATAGTGCCTGGCACAGAGTAAGTATATGATATTACTAGAAGAAAGCCTGATGGAATTGCCCGTGAGAGTTAAAATTAGTAGCTGCTTCTGGTGGGATTACATATAGATGTCATATTTGAAGTTCCCATGTAGTCATACACATCCGTACTATATATACAATCCTTGAAGTCTACAAAGCTAAGGTTTAGAATCTATATGTGATAGAATGTTGTATCTTTTAAATGTGGAAAGATGCTAATATATTTTCACAGAAGAAAAGACTGTACAATACACTGTGTATCATATCTTATTTTTGTTAGAAACTTTATTACATATTTAAAAGTTTTTATTTTCAATAGCTTTAGTTTCAATAGTTGAACCTTGATCTTGTCTATTTCCTTGATCTTAATTGTCTTGTGAGTCAGCAGTTACAACCTGTGTTCAGACTATCATGCAGCTATGGAAAAATTTTGGCTCAAAGTCTACTTTTCAGAGGCCAAGCCTAAAGTTTGCTGTTGGAGTAGAGACAAGTGACAGTCATTTATTTTGTCCACTGCAGTATTTGTGTTTATCATGATCTAGGACATAGGGGAAAAAAAATCACAGGCCAGGCGCAGTGGCTCATGCCTGTAATCCCAGCACTTTGGGAAGCTGAGGCCGGTGGATCACCTGAGGTCGGGAGTTCGAGACCAGCCTGACCAATATGGAGAAACCCTGTCTCTCTCTACTAAAAATACAAAATTAGCTGAGTGTGGTGGCACGTGCTTGTAATCCCAGCTACTTGGGAGGCTGAGGCAGGAGAATCACTTGAACCTGGGAGGTGGAGGTTGCAGTGAGCTGAGATCATGCCTTTGCACTCCAGCCTGGGCAACAAGAGCTAAACTTCGTCTCCAGAAAAAAAAAAAAAAAAAGATAAAAGAAAGAAAGAAAAAGAAAAAATCACTAAAATATATGCTTTTTAACCAAATCGATTTAAAAGTTTTTATGGTTTTCTTTTTTAACCAAATTGATTTAAAAGTTTTTACAATTTTGGCTTTTTTTTTCTTAAAGGGGGACAGCGTCTCTGTCACCCAGGCTGGCGTGCAATGGCATGATTACGGCTCACTGCAGCCTTCACCTTCTCGGCTCAAGGGATCCTCTGCCTCAGCCTACTGGGGAAGCTTGGACTATAGGCATGCACCACCACACTCAGATAATTTTGTAATTTTTTTTTGTAGAGACAGGATCTTGCCATGTTGACCAGCCAGGCTGGTCTCAAACTCCTGGGCTCAAGTGATCCTCCTGCCTTGGCCTCCTAAATTAGTGCTGGGAGAAGTGAGCCACTGTGTGCGGCCATGAAAAAATATTTTTACATAGCTACTATATTCATAGAATTTGACCTTCAAAAGATAGAAAACGCGGTGCAAAATGCCCTTGCACTTCTATTTCGGGTTTCCCAGGATCCATCTCTGGAGATGACCACTGTTAGGAGTTTCTTGTGAATCCTTTCAGAGATGTTTCATGCCTGTAGAAGCGTCCTGTGTGAACGTGTGTGTGTGTGTGGGTATGTGTGTATAATACCTCCACTTTGTCCTGTTTACAAAGGGTTGTATACTGTACAAACTGTTCTGCATCTTAGATTTTGTGGGGAGTGGAGATGAGACTTCTTATAGGAAAAATTTTAAGAACACTTATATTATGAAAAGATTAATTTTATTAGCAAAAGTTCTATGTTGGTTAATTTGTGTTTTGTCCTTTTTTTTAAAAAAAGATTTCCTTTTGTAGCTGTTTCAATTGGCTTTGCTGTAAATAAAAAGGTATGTTTTTTTAAACGTATATTTGATTATATGCCTTGCTCTCATTTTCTGAGAAAAAGTAAATGTGTTTTCATAATAAATTCAGGTTTGTCTATATATTTGATTTATATAACTGCATTATTTTGAATATAAGCTACAGGACTGTTAAAATTTTCATGGTACATTTCCATTGAATAAAATTTAATGTATTCTAAGAAGCAGGAGTTGTAAGGAGAAAATATACACAAGTAACTGAAATACAACTCAGTATTTAGTAACCATTATATATGTGATAGAGTCAGATGGGATAGCAGTTGATACGTGATCCAAAATGCTTCGTGGAAGAGGTGAGATTTGAGCTGGGAATGCTTTAGTAGGTGTTAGTGAAGAAATACATTTAGAAACCAGCAAGTAGCAGGGGCCAAAGCATAGCTGGAAAATACAGACTCTCCTTAGGAACCTACACATAGTTCAGGTTATGTCTTATGTCCAAATACTTATGTCTAAAGTCTGGCAGAATAAAACACATAGCTATACCATTTCCTTGCATTTGGCTACTTAGTTGGTCAAACACTGAAGAGTGGTTACTAACATTTTACCTACCTATCTTCAAGGAACTTTTCATAATGTAAAATCAACATGTATAAAAGCAGTTATAACATTTCTGAACGTAAAACACAAATTAGACAAATGACAGCTTAGCCTCAGGGTTGTATTAATTAGTGAGAATGTCCAGAAGAAGCTAAGTGAGCATTCAGTATATAATCAGCTCTGGGCTATGTGCTGGCCCTGCCATTGAACTCACAGCTCAGCACAAAGTTAGATGTGTGAACAGGTGAGATGATATGTGGTGGAACCGTGAAAAAAAATACTGTGGGAACACATGATGTCACCAGTTCTTCTGAGAGTGGGTTGGTAAAATCTTCATAACAGCAGGGGTCTTAGAAGTTGGTCATGTGAGTCGGCCCTTAGAAAACTAGGGGTTTTCCAGATTGGCGGCAGGGGGGTGGGAGTGGGTGGGAAGAGAAAAGCGTTTTAATCAGAAAGAACAGCTTGGAGAAATTGAAGACCATGATATGTGTGGGGAACGGTGAGATGTTCATGGAGAGGGAAGTGCTCCAAGTGGCCAGGACAGAGGTTAGTTTGGCCTTACTGTGAGGCACTGTGGCCAGTCCATGCAAGAAAATTGTTTTTGTTTCTAGGTAGTTGGGAACCAGTAGAGGTTTTGAAGTGGAAAGTGACAGATAATTCTAGCAATGTAGAGATTATACTGGGGTGTGGGTGATTCTGAACTAAGTATAGGCAGTGAGAATAGCCAAGGAAATGCAAAATTGGGAAGTATTTTTAAGATTAAATATGAAAGAGATTTATGGGGAAGGAATGGGAGGTGATCAGGCAATGAGTGATTTTGTCTTTGAAATTCTGCAAGACTAAGTTTGGAACCATAGGTTCTTCCCCCGATTATGAGGTTGATGGGAGCCAAAATGAATTTGTGGACTGGAAAGAACCAACCTGTGTGAATATGGAGAGCTAAAAGGGAAATTGAAGCAATGGGAGAAGGAAGAAAAAAGCCTGAGGTGCCTAACTTTTCAGGGTGAGGCAGAAAAGAATGTTCTAAAGTCATAACTCTGAGACGAATTAGTAGGTGAGGTAGAACTAAGAGAATAATGCTGGGAACATGAAGGTAGTAAATTAAGTATTGAATAAGTGTTGAGCCAGCAGGCTCCAATTCGTCAGACAAGGCATTTGAGGCAATAAACAAAGTTTGTTTATATTCTCTGTGGGACTTTCAGAAGAATGAGTGATTTAGGCAGAAGCCACATTGTAATATATTAAGAGGAGAATAAGAGATGCAAAGTTACTCATTGGCAGCGAAGGGAAAAGGGTAGAATAACATTTCAAAAGTTTTGTAAGGAGGAGAGAAATTTAATGAGAAGGTGTAAGAAGAAAAATCCAAGAGACGAGGGAATCAGCTGATGGAGCAGTTTTTGAGAGAATGTCTGTGAGGGTAGGAGTCCTCACACCGGAGAAGTGTTCACTTGGAAACGAGGAAAGCCCTGTCTTCTGAGGCAGGAGGAAGAGAGGTGAGGTGGGTGTTCTTAGATCTGGACTTGGATGGGAGGAGAGTCAAGAATATCAGCTCTGGTGACCTCTTTCTCTTAATTAGTCTGGAAATTAACATTTTAAGTATCCCACAGTTTAGCCATTTCAGTCCATTGTTATTAGTCGGTATACCAGCTTGCCTTGTTATTTTCTTAGAAAAAAGTATATGAAAAATACTTAGGTTTGGTAAAGGAAACTTGATTTCCTCTGCAGATAGAATTTGGAGTTGTGTACAGCTGTGTGGAAGACAAGATGTACACTGCCAGAAAAGGAAAAGGTGCCTTTTGTAATGGTCAAAAACTACAAGTTTCACAACAAGAAGGTAGGGTTAATTCCAATTTTTGGTGCTATTCATATTGTGTACTCAATATTTTATTGTTTTTTAATGTTCACCTGTGGAATTCTCCAAGTGTTAACTGATTCATAAATTGTGTTTATTATCTCTTTATTCTTTTTTACTTCAGTTTTGAATGTGGAGTGGAAGTAGGGAAAGAAATGTAATTGAGCAAACACTTCAGGCTCAACATTATATTTTGTGATAGAGATAGGAAGATGATTAAGACTGGCTTCCGATTGTGAACCCTAAATATCTGAGACAGGTCTCAATCTGTTTAGAAGTTTATTTTGCCAAGGTTAAGGATGCACTCATGACACAGCCTCAGGAGGTCCTGACGACATGTGCCCAAGGTGACTGGGATACAGTTTGCTTTTATACATTTTAGGGAGTCATGAAACATCAATATGTGTAAGATGTACATAAAGGCAGGACAACTAGAAGTGGGGAAGGGGGCGGTGTTCAGGTTATAGGTAGATAAATGACAAATGATTACATTCTTTTAAGTCTGTAATCAGCCTTTAAATACACAGTTGAGTCTGGCTCAGTGAATCTGCATTTTTACATAAACAATAGGGCAGAGGAAGCGATCAGATATGAATTTGTCTCAGGTGAGCAGAGGGATGACTTTCTGTCCCACACCTGTGAAGATAAGCTATCAGTCTACATTGCCAGGGCAAAATTCAGCCAGAACTGTTTTAGGGTAAAGATCTTGAGGTCCACAAGGAATTTCCTTGTGGGGAAATTGTAAGGGAGGTATGTAGCTCTTTTGCCTTTGTAGGTGTCTTATTTAGGAATTAAATGGGAGGCAGGATTGCCTGACACAGTTCCCAGCTTGACTTTTCCCTTGGCTTAGTGATTTTTGGGTCCTCAGATTTATTTTCCTTTCACACTGTCCTTGTGGAGTTCATGGTTTATGTTTTATCTACTGCATCTAATATTCTTTATAGAATTCTTCTGATCTGATGCCTCTAGGACCAATTACTACGAAGTAAATGGGGGGGAAAAAAGCCCATTAAAGCTGGGAATCACTGAAAAGGAGACATATTTTATATGAGCCAAATGGCAATTTAAGTTCTTCCTTCTCTATTACATCTGTCGGCCTCAAAAAAGGAAGCGCAGGCAAAATTAATGTAGAGAGTTTATTTGGGCCCAAGTTGAGGACTGCAGCCCAGGACACACTTCTAGATTACCTTGGAGTGTGCTCCAGAGAACTTAGCAGAGGCTCAGGTTTTTAAAGAAAAAGGGACACACTGGGAGAGGGGATGATTAGAAAAGTTGTACTTCAGGAATTCTCATTTGTTTACAGAAATAACATTGCTTAGTGATTGGCTATACACTGTTGAATTATAGGGTGTATGACATTTTATGGCTGCTTGGCATCAATGAGTCTAGAGCCCCCATAGCAAGCGGCTTCAAGTGGTAATTATTTAACTCCAGGGGAGTGAGACTGTGTGCTGGTATATTTTAAATGCCTCTTTGAGCTTGATAATTTAAAGGTACTGGCATTCTGCAGATTAAAACTTTTCTTTTTCTTTATCACAGCTTATTGAAGTTTTGACTTACTGTTCTTCCATAAACCACATCAAACATTTTCCACAGTTTGCACTTTGAGATTCTTTTCAGTGCAGCAAGAACTTAAAAGTACTTGCAAAACAATTTGAGTTTAGAATCTTTTTAGGCTTTTATACTTTTTCCCCTCAATCAAACACTTAATTTAAGAGCAGATTTTTAGGCTGTTTCCTTTTTATTAAAATCTAAGACCCCATGAAATGGAGGATGCATTCTTATTTTTCTAGATGTCAACATGTGAGAAAATACAAATCTTAGACCTGAAGAAATATGGTAGCTTTCATAGAAACAACTCTTTTCCTTTGCATAGTCGTTCTTCACTTTACAAAGTACTAAATTATGTAACCCTTTTTTTTTTTTTTTTTTTTCTCTGAGACAGAGTCTTGCTCTGTCACCCAGGCTGGAGTGCAGTAGAGTGATCTCGGATCACTGCAACCTCCGCTCTTGGGTTTAAGCTATTCTCCTGTCTCAGCCGCTGGAGTAGCTGGAATTACAGGTGCGCGCCACTATGCCCAACTAATTTTTTGTATTTTTAGTAGAGACGGGGTTTCACTATGTTGGACAGGCTGGTCTCGAACTCCTGACCTCGTGATCTGCCCACCTCCGCCTCCCAAAGTGCTGGGATTACAGGTGTGAACCACTGTACCCAGCCCTAAATTATGTAACTATTAGAAGTAGTACAACAGTTACAGAAATGCTCAAACACAGCCACAGCTGGTGAACATACATCTCAACTGGTGAGAGGAGGTGAGATGTGGGGTGTTTGGTGTGTCCTGAGCTTCAAATGGAAAACCTTGGATAACCTGTCAGTCTTGTAAATGGATGTCAGAGAATTTTACTTTTGTTGTAAAGTAAAATTTTTACTTTTACTGTAATTTTACTGTAATTTGTTTTCTTTCAAATCTATACATAAATCCCTTATTGAATTTAATCTCTCCTCTTTCCTTTTTAAATATTTAAGGCATTTGCTGTTTCCCACTAAAGGTATTGTGTATGTAGGCAAATTGGTTACATTATATACTTTTTCAGGAAGGGCCTAAGCAGCTGGACTCTGATGCTTGTAAAAAGGATCACTTGGGGATAATTAATTAATCAGTATTTTATTATTTAAACGCTTATAAAGAAACACGATAAAACAAGGAAGAGGGATACAAATGCCTTCTTCTGAATTACAAGTGTCAGATACTTTCCCGAATTCTAAATATTGAAACCTAACTCTTTCTTTTTAGATATTACCAAATCACTCTTGGTGACTGAGTTGGGCTCTTCCAGAACACCAGAGACTGTAAGAATTGTTCTTTCTAATATGGAAAAACTTTTTTGCATTCCTGTTCATGGGTAAGCTCTTTACCATTATTCTCTCTTTCTCTCTCTGTATACATGTGTACGTGCATACACACACCTTTTTTTTTCCTGTACCATTTTAGAATGAATTATATACATCATGGTTTCTGAAGAATAGGGAGATTCTGTTCCATAACCATGAAAACATTGATTTCATAAATATACTTTTTATCTAATTTGTCATCCATATTCAGTTTTGTCAGTTAATCTGCTAATGTTTTCTATAGATTTGCCTTCCAACAGAGTAGGATTCAGTCTAGAGTCAGCATTATTACTTTTAGTTGTCGTGTCTCCTTAGCCTTATTTGATCTGGAACATTTCCACAGCCTATGAAATTACTTCCTTTAAGTTTTCAAATTATTTGCATAGAAGTCTGTAAGATAGACTCTTGTAATTAATTTCTGGCTTCTCTATATCAGTGGTTATTTCCCCTTTGTCACCTATTTTGTCTATTTGTGCTTTTTTCCTTGTTTTTTCTCAAAGAATCAGGATTTTAACTTTAGATGGTTTTTTCTTTTCTGTGCAATTATTTTCATCCTCGTGCTTTCTTTTGGTTTACTTTGTTTCCTTTTTTTTCCTTTTTGATTAGAAAATTTATTTTAATTCCTTTATGTTTATTGATGTAGGTATTTAGGCTATGAATTTTCATCTGATCACTGTTTTCATTATATCCCATAAATACTGATACTTATTTTCATTATAATTATTTTTCATGAATTCTGTAATTTGCTTGTATTTCCTCTTTTACTGAAGAGTTATATTAAATTTTCACAACACGAGTCTGTCTTAGTCCATTTTCTGTTGCTCACAATACCTGAAACTGGGTAATGTATATGTATAATGAAAAGGAATTTATTTCTTACAGTTATAGAGGCTCAGAAGTCCGAGGTCAAGGGGCTGCATCTGATGAGGGCCTTCTTGCTGGTGGGGATTCTTTGTAGAGTCCTGAGGCAGCACACAATGTGACATGGTGGGGCTAAGCATACTAGCTCAGGTTTTTGTTCTTCTTATGAAGCCACCAGTCCTAGTCCTATGATAACTCATTAATCTATTAACCCATGAGTGGATTAATCCATTCATGAGGGCATAGCCCTCTTAGTAGAAGTTCATCCTTTAGTAGATTCCTTGGGGGATATGTGCACAGTTTTCCCTGAGTTTGGGTATTTTCCAAAATGCTTTTCTGTGGCCTTGAGACTTGAAGGACAGCTTGGCTGGGTATAGTATCCTTAATGAAAGTATAAATTTCTTGAAAATGTTCTTTCACTGTTGCCTTGCTTTCTATATTGTTTTTGAGAAATCTGATGCAAATCTAATTTTTCTTGGCTTTTATCTTTTAACTGGAGGCTGTTTTTTCCCCCCCCTTAATTGTTGGCTAACAGTTTTTAAAGGATGTATCTTAGAATTGCTCATTCTGGGTCAGTTATCTGTTTCAGTATATAGGCTCATGTCTTTTTAATTTCTAGGAAGTTTCCTTAAGATATAGTTTAAGTACTCGTGCACTTCTGTTATTTTTTTCTTTAAAGACACCAGTAGGAATGCTCCATCTCCTTTGTGTCTTCATTTCAGCCATTTTCTCTGTTTCTTTTTACTTCTTTCTTTTATTGCTTTTCCTAATTTCTCTTTATTAAGTTTTCTTTTCATCTATTCTTTTATTGGCACCTTGTAATTTATTCTTCATTCCTGACATAGTTTTGTCTTTTATTTCCCCCCCCCCTCATTTCTTTCCTGAGTTCAGCCATCTTGTTTTATGTATGTATTTTGGTCCATTTCTGCTCTTAGTTTCTGTATCGCTGATGTAACTTTTTTTTCAGTATTCACAAGTTTTTGTTTGAAAGTATTTAATTCGGATTGGATTGATATTCATTTTATTCCCCTTCATTGTTGGTTTTGGGGGAGAGACTTTACAACAAAAAGAAAAAACAAAATCGTTTTATTAACAGCATCTGATGTTTTGCAGTAGTTTTGTGTGAATGTGGTCTAATTTTTTCTACTTTCACTTCATTTTGTGATTAGGGTTCCTGCTTTCCGAATATCTTATTTTGCCAGTTGTGCCCTCCTGTGCGTTTTCTTTTATGAATATCTACTGGTTGTAGATAGAGTTGGCTTGTCTTTTGTTTATCATTCATTTCTGCAGGATCCTTAAGTTTTCACTCTTAGTTCCTACTTTTCCTTCACTTGTTTCCAAGGAGTACCATCTCTGCTATCTTACCTGATTCTCCTTCAGAATCACAGCTTCTCTGAGGCTGCCTGGTCAGGTTCTGCATGTTTTCTAGCCCCTTACCTGTAGCCAGGACTATGAATTACCAAGTGCTGATCTGTGCTCAGTGTTTCTGTTTTTGTGTTTATTGTCTCACTGACTCTTTTCTGCGGGTGGTTTTGTCTTTGTTCCCTGTGGGTCCTCTGCTCCTCCCTGTTCTTCCTCACAAAGTCTTTTCTGCCTTCTCTCCCCTACTCTGTGTATCTTTGGGCCTCCGGTGCTCTGTTAGAATGTATATGTTTGTTTTTCTTCTACTTAGATGTAGTTTGAGAGTTTGTGTTTCCTGATTCCTAACTGATGGAATGGGTCCTACGGGTTTTATTTTTCCTCCTGGTTGATTTCATTTTATTATTTTCCAGGAGATGTATAGGGAGTTCCAAATTGGCATGCCATTATTATTCTCCAAACCTCAGAGTCCCTCTATAATGACAGTTTAATAAATGAAGAAATTAAAAGGAAATATTTATCCTTACTTTTATCCTTAAATCTTCAAGAAAAGCTAAAGGTTTGAGGTCTGTCACTTTAGTACAGTTAACACTATCTTATTTTTTATTTTTATTTTTTTTCTGAGACGGAGTCTCGCTCTGTCACCAGGCTGGAGTGCAGTGGCGCAAGCTCGGCTCACTGCAACCTCTGCCTCGGGGGTTCAAGTGATTCTTCTGCTTCAGTCTCCAGAGTAGCTGGGACTACAGGTGCCCACCACCACGCCCAGCTAATTTTTTGTATTTTTAGTAGAGACGGGGTTTCATCATGTTAGTCAGGATGGTCTCGATCTCTTGACCTTGTAATTCACTTGCCTCGGCCTCCCAGAGTGCTGGGATTACAGGCGTGAGCCACCGCACCCGGCCATTAAATATTATTTCTTTGACCATAGTTGTTTATATGAAAAATCATAAAAATCCTTTATTGAACAAAATATGGTGATTGTGAATAACAGCAGGTAATATTTTCACCACCTAATATTTCTATCTTTTTCTTTGTGAAAATTATCACTGAGTTACAAGAGTCTTAGAACTGATCAAAGATATCTAATAATCCAGCCTTATTTTGTAGATGAGTTGACTGAGGTTCAAGTAGGTGATGTGGCTGCTTGAGATGGCACAGCTGGATGGAAGTATGACTAGAATCCTGGCTCCCAGATCATTTCTCTTTCTTCAATATTGCACTTCTCTTAGGAGTCAGACCCTTCAAAATATAGTGGACTATGTACAAACTAATTATGTACTATGCATATGTGGTCTATATAGTAATGAGTAAAGTAAAAGAGAGTCTCTGTCAAATAGCTACAGAACCTCCCAGAATGATGCCCTTGAGGGAAAGGCAATAAACTTGCTGCTACACTCTGCTGTCTTGAAGCAAGGACTGTAACCACAGGCTATAAAAAGGTTATGTTACTCATAAAAAAACTGCAAGAGGTTTACAACTTTAACCTTTAATTTTGCTGTTGGCTGAAATAAAAACTAATTTTTACTTCAGATTTTTTTCAAAAGTATAACCAGGAAAATATTACTAAGAAGTACTAACTTACTGATTGCTTTTATAATCTTTTGCATTCAGCTGATTCTTCAGTTTTGCAATGGGATTTCAGAATTACTTATACAAAACAATTAAACTAAAGAGAGTTATAATCTGAATGAATGCTTTAAACAAGTAGAAACAGTCTAATAAGTTCCTAAGAACCAACATTTATGAGGCAAAGTACATTATTCTGAATCCATTTCCTTTGTTTAATTTTCAGGAATTCATGCAGATGAAATCCACTATGTATGGTATATGATATTTTCTGACATTATGGTTTAGAGAATAATTTTATCATAAAATTAGCTATTTTTATTATGGACATTTTATATGCTAGGCACTCTGCTAGGTGCTATCTTATATTAGCTGTAGTCATTACAAATATTAGCTGTAGTCATTACTACATTTGTCTAAAATAAATTGGAATCTTTATTTGATGACATGACATGGGAGCAAACTCAAATCTTTGTGACATCAAACGTAATCCTTTTTACAATATACCATGTTAGCTATATAGGTGGACCACAGCTGTATAGGAGGACCACATAAGATAAGATTCAGAACACATAGTGCAGAATCTACACCGTAGTCTTAATTACCTGGTAGTTAAGTAATCTGTTTGGTAATCCTTTCATAATATTTTCCATAAAAGAATATTCTCTTGCTGATTGCAAGACCGCTTGCTTGAGATCCCATGATGCTCATTAGAAGTGACGGAAGCACCACTAGTAGGTATCACTGTTGTTCGGCTAGCCTAGGATTCTGTATCTGAATAGAATACCAGGGAATTAATTATGAAAGACCTTGGTATTTGCATTCTATGATATGAGATATCAAATATCACATATCTCATGTGAGAAGTGGGGAAATGCACTTTTCTTTATAACTAAAAAACTGCCACTAAAGTTAATTTGATTTTATCTGGGAAACAAACATCTGTGGCAATTTGGTGCACTTACTAGTACTTTCTCAGATTTGATGTGCTTCAAAAACATATGACGGAAAACATGCCAAATCAATGACATTATGTTATTCTAATCCTTTTTAAAATTTCTTTGGCATAAAGGATGTACTTAGGTGCAATTTTTTGGTTTTTATTTTTGAGATATAAAACAAATGCCACATTAGTCATCAGTTTCCCATGTTTTTAAATAAACTGTGAAAGATCTCATTGAACAGAACTCACTCCCTTATTACCATTGCTTTAAACAGTTGCAGAAAGAATTTGTGTAAAAACCGCTTGAAAGTAACTAGCAGACATGATGACGTTTGTCTTCTAAATACACATTTCAGTGTGTATGTCTTTAATAAAAGGGACATTGTGTAACATAGCCACAGTACAATGATAAAAGGGAATTAACATGGATACATAATCTAATATAAAGACTTTATTCAAATTTTGAACATTTTAATCCAACGTCCAGTCTAGAGTCATGGATTGCATTTAGTTGTCATTTCTCATCAATTTCCTTTAATTTAGAACTTGCTTAGTCTTTGTCTTTTATGACCTTGACGTTTTTCAGAGGTATAGGCCAGTTATTTTGCAGTCTGTCTCTTGAATTTGAATTTGTCTAGTTTCCTAATGATTATGTTTGGATCATGGATTTTTGGCAGGAATGCCACAAAAGTAATGTTCTGTCCTTAGTGCATTTTATCAGGCACATTTCTTTTTGTCCCATTTTGAGCGATAATAACTTGGATCACTTGGTAATGGTAGACCATTGTAAAGATGCTATTTTTATATTGTACTTATTATGTATCTTGTGGAGAGACACTTTGACACTCTGTAAATATCAGACTTTCACCCATTAATTTTAACATTGATGATTCTTTACTGAATAAATTATTGCTACAATTGCTATCAAGTGTAGTCATATTCAACTTAACTTGAATTCAAGGAAGAGGTGCTATGAGAGGGCAAACCTACAGTAATTTTCCACGGCAGGGTTAGGTCTGTGCAGAGCCTGGCATGCTGTTGTTGCTTTAGGCACATGTATGACGCACACCCAGTTGAGAATGACCCGTACCATGATATTTTACACCTCCTAGAGACTATTTGCATTGTGGGTATGTGTATATGTGTGTAAAATAATATAAGCGTTAGTAGCTGGATTTAGACAAATATTAATATACTTGCATTTCATTATTGTAGAATTAACCATTATCTTTATTTTTTATGAAAAATTATTGTTTTAATGTTTATCTTATTAAAGTATTGCTTTGTGAGGGTTTTGTGATTTATATAATATACCATGATAATTAGATTTATACATATTTTTATTTTACAATTAGATATCACCTCTTAAAATCTTTATCCTCTAGACTGTTCCAAGTTTCTTCAGTTGACACTTAAAGTGAAGTTAAGGAGGAATATCTTACTTGCATGGATTATTTTTTCCAATTTTATTTCTAAATTCTATTTGTTAGGATCCGGAGTGTTGGAACAGCAGCTGTTAATATGTGCCTTGTGGCAACTGGTGGAGCAGATGCATATTATGAAATGGGAATTCACTGTTGGGATGTTGCAGGAGCTGGCATTATTGTTACTGAAGCTGGTGGCATACTAATGGATGTTACAGGTAGAATTATGGAGAGTGAAGCAGATCTCCACACATCTGTTATACTTTTCTCCATATGTAAAATTTAAAAAACTTTTTGATATATGTTATACTGCAGCTTTTGAAGCAGAAACAAGCTATGTAATTGTGTGCAAAATCAAAATAAACTTTAGGAGATAGAGGTAAGGATAAGAGGTAATGGTAATGTGAGACTTACAATGATAAATGGCTAATCCTTTTCTAATGTGAGTTTCAGGCACTCCTGAAAGGCTGTAGAAAAAGCCTAGACCAAGTTTGTCCAACCTGCAGCCCATGGGCCACATGTGGTTCAGGATGGCTTTGAATGCTGCCCAACACAACTTTGTAAACTTTCTTAAAACATTTATAATGAGTTTTCTTGTGATTTAAAATTTATTTTTAGCTCATCAGCCGTCATTAGTGCTAGTGTATGTTATGTGTGACTCAAGACAATTCTTATTCTTCCAGTGTGGCCCAGGGAAACCAAAATATTGGACACCCTTGGCCCAGACAGTCACTGAGTCTGAGGCTTATACCCAGAGCTCTTTGAAGGTGACAATGGTGATAGTTGATGATGGACTTCCTCCACCATCACTTTCTGTGTTGAGACTAGAGAAATTAAATAATTGCTTTCAACTGATTGTGAAAATTTTAAACTGAAGGGTGAATCTGGGTTGAAAGAATTGACCAGTGATCTGGGAGAAAGGCAACAAAGAAATAAGGAATTGGGAAGGACAGTGGTATGAAAATCCATTGGATTCACATTTTCTGTCGTCCATAGATTCTTTTTTTTTTTTTTTTTTTGAGATGGAGTCTCGCTCTGTCATGCAGGCTGGAGTGCAGTGGTGCAATCTCGGCTCACTGCAAGCTCCACCTCCCAAGTTCACGCCATTCTCCTGCCTCAGCCTCCCAGGTAGCTGGGACTACAGGTGCCCGCCACCACACCCAGCTAATTTTTTTTTTTGTATTTTTAGTGGAGACGGGGTTTCACCATGTTAGCCAGGATGGTCTTGATCTCCTGACGTCGTGATCCACCCACCTTGGCCTCCCAAAGTACTGGGATTACAGGCATGAGCCACTGCTCCCGGCCCTGTCCATAGATTCTTAAACAATAAAGAGGTAATAAGAATGCACAAAAATAGAAATAGAGAAAATATGACATTTTCTAACTGGTATGGCTTCATTATTTGCTCAAAAATTATGCTTAGAAACTTAGTTATATATTGTCTAAGCTTATACGTTGTAGAAATGTAACAGAGTAGATTTTTGTTTAAGAAAACTGAAAGTATTAAAATGTTATGTGACCATAGTACATATTGCTATACTTTTTTAAAATGAATTATTTTTGTACCAGATAAAACTATTTTTCATACTTGTTTGCTCTTAGGTGGACCATTTGATTTGATGTCACGAAGAGTAATTGCTGCAAATAATAGAATATTAGCAGAAAGGATAGCCAAAGAAATTCAGGTTATACCTTTGCAACGAGACGATGAAGATTAATTACGGCAGCCTCATAGTCAATCCCAGTTGCTTTTCCCCAGACTTGGTGACTCATCGATGGATATGTGTTTTGGATGTATGATATGCTTGGTTTAGATTCTCTTTGACCAGGTTAAAAATTTGGAACTTGTTCCTTATTTTACTATGACTAGGTTTGCAAGAATTGACATAATGTTTGTTTCACTGATTTAAAACATTTTGCACGTAAGGATGTACTTTAGAAAACATACCCAGGAAGTACAGTTGATAAATATAATATCAACTGAAATAGTCAATTAGCAATTTTGTGTTTCTAAATATCTATGGTCCCCTGAAATTTTGACTTACTATATAGGTGCAGAGACACCCACTTAGAAAGTTAACTGTTCGGAAAAACATTTCTCTTTAGTTTCAAAAACCATATATAATTAAATTTGTAAGGACATACTGAGTACCCTAGGCCAACATTTTTTTCTTTGCAGAGAACCTTTTGTGTTTTATTCTTCAGTGTTCATATAGCACCTGGCCCATTATATGTCTGGGCAACTAAAAACAAACATTGTGAGAATGAATATTTTTAAGGTAGTAATTCCTAGTTATAATAGATACATAAAGTAATGAACTCAGCATTCTGTATTTTTGCTTCAGGTTTGAAATAAAAATTATCTAGTTAAATTTTTTATGTTTCACATTACCATGCCATCAGATAGCATTGCTTATTGTGGGCATTTCTGCAGTGAATACATTTTCCAAAACAGTTAAATTGTCAGTTTGGATTTGCTTTAAAGTCCTGTATAAGAGAGAAGAAACTATTTCTATAATACAAAGCACTCTCATCAGATATCTGACATAATTAGATATAATATAACATTTTACTAAGTTCAGTAGGTGTTTATACTGATTTGATTGTGCTGGCAAATATACTGTATTGTTAATATTGAACTATTTATTTTTCTCTTAGTCTTGTTAATTAACTTCATTGCCGCTGGATTCTCTTCAGCCTTTAAAAATATTTCTTAGTGGTCATTGCTCTGCAGAACTCAAATAGAAAATTGTACTGGTTCATAGATATTTTTAAAGGGTTAATTTATTGTTCAGCCTTATCCCTTGGCATGTGAACAGACTACTAGACTTATTGTAGGTTCACATGAGCTTTGTGTTGTAAAATGAAAAGTGCTTCTATAAAGTTTTCAAGGTAGGGAGTGATTTTATTGTTGTTTATATCTAATATATTAAAGATGTGTGATACTAAGGTTTAAGTGCTATAATTACTATGTTTGTACTGTTGATCACATGTACTTAAAACATCTGATACTGTATTCTTGGCTGGACGTGGTGGCTCACACCTATAATCCCAGCACTTTGGGAGGCCGATGCAGGTGGATCACAAGGTCAGGAGATCGAGACCATCCTGGCTAACACGGTGAAACCCTGTCTCTACTAAAAATACAAAAAATTAGCTGGGCATGGAGGCGGGTGCTTGTAGTCCCAGCTACTTGGGAAGCTGAGGCAGGAGAATGGCATAAACCCAGGAGGTAGAGCTTGCAGTGAGCTGAGATCGTGCCACTGCACTCCAGCCTTGGCAACAGAGTGAGACTTCGTCTCAAAAAAAAAAAAAAAAAAAAAAAAAAAAATCTGATACTGTGTTCTAAGGTTGCACGTTGTTTTTGCAATTAAATTTATTTTAATTAAGATGATCATGAATAAAACTTTAAATTAATTGGTGTTTGTATTATTGTTCCCATTATAGTTATTATTTTTAGATTTAGGATCTCACTCTGACTGTGCTGTGGTGCAGTCATAGCTCACTGTATCCTCAAATTCCTGGGCTAAAATGATCCTCCTCTTTCAGTCTTCTGAGTCTCTTATGGGACTATAAGTTCATGCCACCATGCCCTGCTAATGTTTTACTTTTATTTTTGTAAAGATGGAGTCTTCCTATGTTTTCCAGGCTCCTTGGCCTCCCATAGTGCTGGGATTACAGATGTGAGCCACCGATCCAGGCCATGATATTTACATTATTAAAGTTAATAGTTCAAACTACTTTTAGAGGCTTTGTTTTGTTTTTGTTTTTTGAAGACAGTGTCTTGCTCTTCTGCTCAAACAGGAATGCAGTGGCATGATCACCACTCATTGCAGTCTCAACCATCTGTGCTCAAGCAGTCCTCCCACCTCAGCCTCCCTAGTAACTGGAACCACAGGCACATGCCACCATGCCTGGCTAATTTTTTATTTTTTGTAGAGACAGAATCTTCCTATGTTGCTTAGGCTGGTCTCATTGGGCTCAAGTGATCCTCCTGCCTCAGCCTTCCAAAGTGCTGGAATTACAGATGTAAGCTATTGTGCCCAACATACTTTTAGAGGTTTTTGTGTTGAGTTACAAATATTTGAAACTTGCAAATATTATTTAATATACGTTCTTATTTTTTGCCTGTAATCTTTCCAACTTTTCTAAAAACCTACATTTTTTTTATAATAGCTTTTACATCTATTTATTCTAAATGCAATTGAATATTTTGTGTCTGAAATTTCTTTAGATGCTGAAAAAGGATGAATGACAAGTGAATTATCTAACAATATTTGAAAATACTTTTTTGAGTAACAGGACTTCTTAGACTTCACATGTATATGTTGTAGTCAGGGTATCTTTCTGCATGTGTATACATACACAGATACATAAAATATATGTACTTGAACACATAAAATATATGTACATAAAATATATGTACTTGTCTTTTAACTTAATTGTGTTCATTCTATCCTATACTTGTGAAGCATTATTTGGCTTTATTATGAATTACCAGCCTTTCTTAGAATTGGTTTACGATGCTCAATCAGAAGTTTTCCTGGGATATGTATTATTTCCACTCATTTGTCCTTAATTTTAAGATCTAGTCTAGAGCCTAAAATACCATGTTTCAAGAAAACAAAAATAATTATTTTAAACTTTCCTTTTACCTCAGTTCCTTATGTTTACCCTGCCTCATTTAGAAAAAAAAAAAAGTACTTTTTATTACTATTTAGTCACACACACAGTTTAAAATTTCAAATACTGCTACACAGTTCAGAATGAAAACCAGCATTTTCCTGTTCCATTCTATCCCTCCCGAGTTCATCTCCTCAAACTCTTTTAGCAGTTGTTGCTGGTATTTACCTCCATCTTTGAAAAGGATAGCTATGTTCTGCTAAATCATTATATATTGGCTTCACTTCATCTCAGTTAACTTTGTATTATGGAAGCAGACCCCATGAGTTACTTTTCTGTCCTTTCCACCCTTCTACAATAGTGATATATAAATTTTTTTGTTAAAATTATGTCCATTGTTTAACTTACGACTTTTATTAATTGGTTAGCTAACAAGTAGTGTATTATGACTATAGTTTCTTTCCTCTGCAACTTTTTATACTTTCTGAAATTAACAAATTTCTCCCAGGATTGTAAAACTACTTTATTTTCTATTTGTTCACCATACTCAAGTATTCTGTTCTGTGAGAACTATTTTTTTTTTCTCTCTGGAGATAACCCTTTTGGGGCCCTTTTCCTTTTCTTCTGTTTCAACTGGTTGCTGGCCAGGTGTGCTGCACTGTCCTTCAGGGTTTGCCTCTGCTTCTATGCTGAATTTTCATACCCTGGGTCTTTCTTAACTCATTTTGATGAGCCCATCTTCCAAGTGCTTCCTGTGAAAGTACTTGGGAGGTAAAATCTTGTGATCTCTGGTATCAGCAGATGTCTGTTCCTGCTTGCTGCATTCATAGTTTGCCTAGGTCTAGAATTCTAGGTTGCAGCAATGATTCCCTCAGAATTTTGAAAGCATTGCTTCACTCTCAGAGCTTTCAGCATTGCTGATGAGACACTGTTCTGACGGTCACTCCATCGGTATGTACTCTTTTCTGTTGAAGATCTTAGGATTTTCTCTTATCTGGATTTTTCTGATTTCCCTGTGATGATCACTGACTTACATCTTTTTCATTCCTGACTTACATCTTTTTCATTCCTTGTGTTAATTATTCATGTCTTTTTATGCTGGAAATTCATCCAGTCTTTAGTGTTTTGTTTCTGTGGTAACTTCCCCCCTTCCTTAGTCTCTTCTCTTTCTAGAATTTCTGTTTTTCAGTTGTTGAACCCTCTACATTTATCAACTTATTTCCTCTGTTTAACATCTTTTTGTGGCTGGGCGCAGTGGCTTGCACCTGTAATCCCAGTACTTTGGGAGGCTGAGGCGGGTGGATTACCTGAGGTCAGGAGTTTGAGACCAGCCTGGCTAACATGGCAAAACGTCATCTCTATTAAAAATACAAAAATTAGCTGGGCGTGGTGGCGGGTGCCTGTAATCCCAGCTACTCGGGAGGCTGAGGCAGGAGAATCACTTGAACTCGGGAGGTGGAGGTTGCACTAAGCTGAGATCAAGCCACTGCACTCCAGCCTGGGCAATAAGAGTGAAACTCCATCTCAAAACAAACAAACAAAAAACATCTCTTTACTTTAGCTTCTAGGAGATTTCCATAACTTTATCTTCCAACCTATTAACTTCTAAAAAAATCACTGTGTTCTTATTTCATTGACTAAATATGTTATCTTTCTCATGATATTCTTTTATATATTTTAAAACATATTCTAGGTCCTGCATTGTCCCTGTCAAGTTCCTCGGTTTTTAGTTGCTTTTTGTTCTTTGGTTGTCTTTTTTATTTGTTCTCTTTCATTTTTTAGCATCTTCAACTATCTAATGGTCCTTTGTTTTATAAATGTACTAAAATGTATAAGATACTGGTAAAAGTACTGCTCATAGGCAGATCTATAACCTTAGCTGGAAATTAGAGAAATAGAGGGATTGATTGTTAGAAATAAAAATATTTCATAGTCTATGTGATTGTGCACTTAGAACATCCAAAAAAATCTGCAGATAAACCGTTAGAATTAGTGTCTTTAGTGATATCACTAGAGATAAGGTCAGTGTACAAAAATCAACTGCATTTGTATAAGCTAGCAATACTTAAGATAGAATTTGGTGAAGATTGTATTTACAGTAATGTTTTTTAAAGCCATCATATACCTAGATATTGTTCTGACAGACATGCAAAAGCTCCACACAGGAAAAACTACAAAACGAAAATATTGCTGTGAAAAATGTAAAAGATCATAGTAAATGGCATAATATACTATGTTTATGGTTTGGAACACTCAATATTGCTCAGATGGCAGTCCTTCCCAAATTTATCTGCAGATTCCAGAAAATCCCAATAATGCTTGGGGGAGGGAGTAAAGAGGGAGGACTGAAATGCATATGAAACATAGAGAGCCCAAAATAGCTAAAACCATTTTAAAGCTGAAGAGCTATGTTAGAAGACTAGACCACTAGATACCAAGACTTGTAAAGATCTGTAATTACGACAGTGATATTAGCACAAGGCTAGACAAATGGACCAGTGGTACACAGTGTCCAGAAATGAACCCAAACGTATAGAACTACGTAGTTGATAAAAATGATGTCATTGCAATGTAGTAAGGAAATGATCGTCTTTTCAATAAGTGGTATGGAAGCAGTTGGATATCCATATTAAAGGAGAACATAAAATATTGGTCCCATCATGCCATGCACACAAATCAATTCCAGATGATCCTAGACCTAAAAAATAAAAGGTGAAAGAAAGCTTCTAGAAGATACCTTGGTAGGCAAAGACAAGGTACAAAAAACAGGATACAAAAAGCCCTAACCCTAAAGAAAGACTGATAAATTGGGCTGCATTAATAGGTTTATCATTAAAATACACCATTAAGAGAGTCAGAAGGGCAACCCACAGAGTTTGCAATACATCTTATCTGAGAAATTATATTGAGGCTATAAATAACTCCTGTGTAGTAAAAAAAAAAAAAAAAATCCAATTACAAAATAGGCAAATAATTTTACTACATACTCCACAAAATGATATATTCAAACAATAAACAAATGTAAAAATGTTCAATGTTAATAGTCATCAAAAAAATGTAAATTAAAACAATCTTATACCACTACATACATCAGAATGGCTAGAGCAAATAATAAATCCAGTGAACACGTAAACTAAATAAACCCCCAACATCATATGCTATTGCCAGGGATGTTCATTGGTATAACTACTTTAGGAAACTCTGGTGATAGCTACTAAAGCTAATCATCTGTTTGTCATAGGATCCAGCAGCTTCATTCCTCTGCACCTATTCAGCATACATGCACACATATATCACCAAAAGGCACATACAACTATTTTCATAGTAGCATTCTATTAGCCCTAAACGGTAAACAATGCAAAAGTCTACCAGTAACAGATGGATTTTCTTTTCTTTTTTTTTTTTTTGACATGGAATCTCACTCTGTTGCCCAGACAGGCACAGTGGCTTGATCATGGCTCACTGCAACCTTGAATTCCTGGGTTCCAGCATTCCTCTCACCTCAGCCTCCTGAGTAGCTGGACCTCCAGGCAGGTGCCACCATACTCAGCTAATTTAAACAAAATCTTTTTTTGTGGAGATGGAGTGTTGCCGAGGCTGGTCTCAAATTCCTGGGCTCAAGGATCCTCCCCACTTGGCCTCCCAAGTTCTGGATTACAAAGCCTGCACTACCGGGCTGGGCTGGTGGTTTCTCTTCTATCAAGTCACTCTAGGGAAACTCATGCATGCCCCATGACTTCTATCATCGCATCCATTCTACTGACTCCCAAATATTGACCTACAGCCCATAATTTCTTTCTGAATTTCACCCCTTCCCTGCCACCGCCTCTCCAGCTCCTTCCTAGATGCTCCCTTCTGACCGCCCTCTTCTTGATTTCAATATGTCTCAAATAAAACAGATGAATTTTTGCTCAGAATTTTCTGCTACTCAACTGTTTTCATTTTTCTCTGCCCTTTCAAGTTAGCATTTGATATATTTGATGTTTCTCCTTCCCTAGTCCTCACATCCAATTTTTCATAGCCAAGTTTTTTTTATCATTTGGCTCCACCTAACATTCCCACTGAATACTCCTGCCAGACTGGACCACTAGCTCTTCACTGGCCTCCTCTGAACCTTTTCAGGTGATATTCCTTCTCCCCAGAACAGCTTATGGTAATAGTAGGTTAATTTTTTTTATAATTGTGAAGATAAAGTCACAGTGATTCTCCTTTCTCTGGGAATTGCTCCCAACAAAAGGCTGTGCTTACTGTTACCATGTCTGTAGTTGGTGTGACTCTCTTCTCTGTTTACTTCAGAAGAGGATATCTGACTCAAGAAGACACATGAAATTTGCTAGGGTATTGGAGATTTTGAACCCAAAGACAGAGATTGGAAATAATTGGGAATCACTTTAGGTCAGCACTGGATAAGAAGTAACATGCATCTCAGGAGGCACCCTTCAGATTGAGCTGGGTATCAGCATTCAATCCCACAAGGCTACCTGTTTAAGAAGAATGGGAATATTTCATAGGTAATATGTTCTAAATTCTAATATGTCATATGTAATATGTTCATATCCCTTAGTTCTTCCTCCAAATAGCTCTTAAAATATTTTCCTTGATAGTAAATGTCATTTATGATATTTAGCATTTGTTGAGTGCACTGTACCTTGCGTTGTGTTAAGCACTAAATATTCATGATGATAATTAAACTTCACAATAACACCAGGAGATGTTATCTTCATTGTACTGAAGCACATGTTTAATTAGCCCAATTTCCATGCTAAGGTGACACAGGTAAGTGGTGACACTCCTGCAGTGACACAGCTAGGGTCTGCAATCTTAACCCCCTTGCCCAGGGATCCTCCCCCTCCAGCTGCACATGGGAACCACCTAGGGAGCGCACAGACCGTCCACTGCTGGGGTCCCTCCTGAGTGGATCTGACTGACCAGGTTTGGAGGGTCGCCTGGCCATCTGTGTATTTTTTTTCAAGTTTTCGGGTAACAATATCAGGTAGCCAGGATTGATAATTATTTTGTTTTCCAAGAGTAACTGATTTCTTAGAAGTAGCCAACTCACCCACTCACCCACCTCAACAAACCTCAGAGGGTCTTAGAGTATGACTTGATACCTTTACATGGAAATGTTGCTGTAAGCCATGCCTTTGCCACCTGATGAGCCTGCTTGGAAATTATTGTACCTGCCTTTTTTATTTCCACAAATTAACACTAGATGGCAAACTACACACAGGGAATTATATGAAGCATTTCCATTTCTAAAACACTTTATTTTTTCTTCAAATAACCTCATTAGCCAATATTTGAGTTTAGTAATATAGTATTAAAACCAAGAGAATTCTTCATAAATTTAATTACTCCAGGTCATGGGTTAACTAGCATTCCCTTCAGCAGAGCCATAGGCGCCCTGGATACACTATGGCCTGGATTTCAGTTGTCTTAAAGGTTCAGCTGTTAAAAGATGTTTATTAATCATAAACATACAGAAAACAAAATTCTTATCACACCTGAGAACACTTTTCTGCCAATATATGTCAATATCCCTATTAAATAATTGACTCACTAATAAAAACTTTTACAAATACCTGCTGACCTTTCAAGGAGGTTGTCATATCTCTAGGGATACAAGGCAGGGGGTGCTTCGATGCTACTGTATGCCCACTTTCCTGTTCTTTTTCCTCAGAAACTGCTTGGATGATGAAGTAATGGAGGTGGGGTATGTGAGAAACAGTATGAGAGAAGTATGCATTGCTTACATTGAGGAACAGTGTAATAACATTGTCATTGATTTAGTCTCTCATAACTGGTAAAATACCTTCATATCCCTGACCTCAAAGTGGCAGTACTCATCCAGCTACCTCAGAGTTGGCAACATCACTCATCTGAGCTTACACATAAAGGTGAGGTGTGGGGGATTTTTTTTTTTTTAAAAAGTACTTTATGTATGTGTGTATGAATGAGTGAATGAATGACTGTGTCTTGCTCTGTTGCTCAGGCTAGAGTGCAGTGGTGCCATCATAGCTCACTGTAACCTCTAATTGATAGACTCAGTTGACCTATTGACCTTCCCCGCTCAGTCTCCCAAATAGCTGGGACTATAGGCATGTGCCACAACATCTGGCTAATTTTTAAATTTTTTGTAGAGACTGGGTCTTGCGTTGTTCCCCAGGATGATCTCAAACTCCTAGTCTCAAACAATCCTCCTGCCTCAGCCTGAAAAGTCCTGGGGTTATAGGCATGAGCCACCGGGCCTGGCCAGGTTTGAGGGATGTAGAGAAAAGTAATCTTTTTAAATGCAAATACATGATCACCAGCCTAATGGTTTCTCAGTTTTCTTTGGATAAAGTCTAAATTCCTTAATTTGGATTAGAAGGCCATTCACGATCTGGTCCCCGCTCCTTGTCTCTGATCCTTTTCACCTCCAACCTCACATACATAGAGGTCAGATTGGATTTTTTTCAGCTTCCACAGCACGCCTTCTAGCTTATGAATCTTCACAACAAGCTGGCTCATTTTGCTTTATTTTGTTTATCGTAATACTCTCTCTTACCTTTCCCCTCGAACCTCATCTTAACTCAGGCTTAACCTACCTTTACATGTTTAATATCTATTTACATATTACCCACATATTTGGTTTTGGCTTTCTTTTAGTTTCCTGCAAGAATCCTTTGACCACTGAAGTGTGGATGTATTTCCTCTCCTGAGTGCTCTGCATTTCTTCATTCAGACAGCTAACCTGCTTTGTTATAACTGCCTCTTGTAGGTAAAGATGGTCCTGTGAACACCATGGAGGATGGAGGCGTTCCTTTGCTTATTCTTATATTCTCAACATCCGGTGCAGTGTTTGGTTAATAACAAACCCTCTATAAATATTTGTGGAATATTTGAGGGGTCAATACCTAACGACACCTCTTATGCCATCTTGTACCCAGGTTTGACAACCATAATTTATGCATGCCTGCAAATAATAGATTGCCTAGAACCACCCCAATTTTTCCCTTTCCCAGAAAAGCTAAAGACCAGCCCATCTAGTACTTGATTTGTTTTTTTTTTTTTAAGCCAAACTATGAATAACCCCAAAGTCTTGCAGATTCACTTCAGATTCAAAGGGACAGATATGAGATATGAAAAATATAATAAAATTTCTGTCCTTTCAGCTCTAAAATCAAAGTGAATGTAACTTTATGTGACCATGCAAAATTCAGGTATACTGAGAACTTCACCATATTGAGAACGTATCGGGGTGTCCAATCTTTTGGCCTCCCTGGGCCACATTGGAAGAAGAATTGTCTTGGGCCACACATAACATACACTAACACTAACACAAATGATAGCTGATGAACTTTAAAAAAGCAAAAAAGTCTTAATGTTTTAAGAAAGTTTACAAATTTGTGTTGGTCCACATTCAAAGCTATCTTGGGCCACATGCAGCCTATGGGCAGCAGGATAGGCAAACTTGCTTTAGGTGAGTTGGGCCCACTAAAAACAGACTTAGGTCTTCACAAAGAGCAATTGCCATAGTGGTGATGAACTCAGTTCCTTCCATTCCCGCTCTCTCTGCCTCCTCCCTCCATCACGATGCAAACCCTGAGGGAGAATAAACTTTAAAGATATGATTAACTAGATTACATTCTTCCAACACCACATTATAGTTTGTAGAGAAACAGTGCTGCCAAGGCCCTGCAGCTTGTATACCTTGCTATCATATTTACTAAGGGGTTCTTAAGTTTATGCTTGCTAGAAAGATAATGAGATTAATTAAAGTCCTTTTTAGTTCCTACCTTGGGTCAAGACACACTGGTAAAAAAATAAAATAAAATAAAATAAAAAACTTCATGTAAAACATACCTTTTGTCTTGGCCCCACTTTCACCAAATCTCAACACAATCACTTTTAAACAGCTCTGTAAAAGTCTCTCTTGAAAGTTATTGTTTATTGTAAGCAACAGCCCATGACCTCTGAAATCATCTCTATGTTTGTTCATTGTGTCTTACAAGGTTCTCTTTGTCACTTCCTAGAAGAAAATCCTATATGATTTTAATATCAAAAATAACTATTGTTGTCTTGAGTGATTCATTTGTTATTACCTGAAAGATCAGTGGGAACTTGAGGAAATTATAAGTTCCAGCATCGCATCCTAGATCTACAGAATTTGAAATTCTGTAAGTGGGGCCTAGTGATTCTAGTTTTATAAACTCTTCAGGTGATTCCGATGCACACAAAATTTGGGAATCCCTCTTATAGAGAGGAATTATATAATTGACTAGGCTTCTCTTCAAACTTGGCCACTGGAAAGCTTAGAGGCAAATTTGTGGTCCACTGGTAGCAGATGTGTGGAACATTATGATTTTTAGTTGTTTCTCTGTCTACTGTGGGTTTATCTTTGGTTTATTTTTATTCCTATTTTCATTTCACTTCTAATTTAAGTTCTTGTCATATGACATATCCACATAAGCCATCTTAAGTCTTTTTTGAGACATGGCCAGAAACACGCAGGTAGATAGCCAAATAGAAAAATAGTTATTATACTCAGCTTCTGTAGAGAACAAGGTATTCTTGGCAACTGGTGCAGAGTAAGCACCCTTGGCAAACCTGGAGAAGGTCGTGTGTGTGTGTGTGTGCGTATGTGTGTGTGTGTGTGCATGTATTGTGTGTATGTATGTGTTGTTTGAGGAAGCAGGTGAGAGGAAGTCATACCTGTGAATTAGAAAACTACTGTGTTTGTTGACTAGTGAATGACTTTTTACTTTTCCATCAAAAGGCAACTGTTGGTTGGGTTCAGTGGCTCCTGCCTGTAATGCCAACACTTTAGGAGGCTGAGGCAGAAAGGTCACTTGAGGCCAGGATTTTGAGACCAGCCTGGGCAACATAGCAAGACCCCATCTATATGAAATTTTAAAAATTAGATGAGTATGGTAGCATGCACCTGTAGTCCTAGCTAAGGAGTCTGAGGAAAGAACATGCTTGAGCCCAGGAGCTGGAGGTTACAGTGACATATGGCACCACTGCACTCAAGCCTGAGTGACAGAGTGAGACACTGTCCCAAAAACCTTGTTTCTACTAAAAAGACAAAAAAAAAAAAATTAGCCAGGCGTGGTGGCGGGCGCCTATAGTCCCAGCTACTTGGTGGCTGAGGCAGAAGAATGGCATGAACCAGGGAGGCAGAGCTTGCAGTGAGCCGAGATTGTGCCACTGCACTCCAGCCTGGGCAACAAAGCAAGACTCCATTTCAAATAAAATAAAATATAATATAAATAAAAGAAACAACTGTATCTCCTTGTTGCTCTTCATTCAATTCATGGTACATGTACTTGCTAGAAAGCTCATGTGAAACGGTAATGTGGATGATAAAACAAATCCTTACCTTCTTTTGTGCCCTTTCTTGCTTGGCCACAAACCTTTCCACCTTAGTTGTCTTCATTACCTACTAGCTAATCCCTACGAAGGCATTAATTTACAACAGCTTTAGAGAGTAATTCTGAGAATTCCTGGGACTGAAGGCCTCCCCTAGATTGTTTTGAAATATTTCCATAAAAGGAAATTCACTTTCCATTTTTCTATCTGTACTACAACCACCCTGCCTGTGAGAATCACCATAATGGGGTTGAACCGGAGAATTACACTGTTAACGGTAGAGGGTGTCCAGGTTCTTGGCATCTTGAACAAAGAATTGGACAAAATGCACAAAGCAAGGAAAGAATGGAGGGTCTTAGTTAAAAATGAAAGTATACTCCACAGTGTGGAAGCGGGCCTGAGCACAGGGGCTCAAAGGCCCTGTTACAGAATTTTTGGGAGTTTAAATACCGCCGAGATCATTCCCTTTGTTACTTGCCATAAGCCCTATGTAAATGGAGAGGATAAAGTAAACTTACAAAGTCATTTAGTCATATGCCCTATGGAGAGGATATTTCCTGTTATAGCTGAAGTGTGAACTGGCCTTACATTTCCTCCCTCCAGCCCCTATTTTCCTGCCTCAATACCACATAGAAAGACTATTTGATATATCTATCTGACAAGTGGTCATGTGTTACGGCCAGGCCAGGTAAACCAGATCTTATCTTGTATTACTCTCCCTAGTCATTACCACGAAGAAGCTCCAGTGAGATCAAAATATGAGACCTCTCAGCTGACCTCAGGGAGACCTTAGGGGATGTAGCCCGATGCCACTTTCTGCCTTAGGAATTTAGGATTGAAAAGGTTGGGTGTCACTGCATTTGCTGCGTTTTCACTTTTTTGGATACTTGCTTGTAACATGGTTCCATGCGTTCTGAAACACTGTTGGCTGGGCTTCACCATACCAAGAACAGCTTTATAATAATTGGGTAAGAATTGGGCTATTTTGGTCCAGCTGAAAGCCTAGAGCCTGATTAATCTAATGGGGGATATCTTTTAGTGCTCCGTCAGTCAGCACGGTGCTTGTCAAACGGCTTCTAAATTCTGAGATAAGTATTAAGCAAAGGGACTCACCTAAAGACGAGGTCCTTCAGTTCAACCAAACTTCGGAGCACCTGTTTTCTGGAGGTATGGGCAAGGGCACTGAAGGGGTCTGGAGATGGGAAGGCTGAGTGCTCTCTTTTTGGATAATGATAGTTAATAAGAGCAGCATTTAGTGAGCACCTGGCAGTTAATATATGTGATTTAATATAATTAGCTACAATACTAAGAAGAAGAATATAAGGAAAGTTTGATGGAATAAGACCAATTATGAGCTATAAACATTTGGAGGTGCCAGTGTGGTGGTTCATACCTGTAATCCCAGCACTTTGAGAGGCAGAGGTAGGAGGATTGATTGAGCCCAGGAGTTTGAGACTAGCCTGGGCAACACAGGGAGACACCTGTTTCTACAAATAGTTTTAAAAATTAACCAGGTGTGGTGGTACGTGCCTGTGGTCCCAGCTACTCAGGATGCTAAGCAGGAGAATTGCCTGAGACTGCGAAGTGGAGGCTGCAGTGAGCTGTGATCTCACCACTGTAGTCCAGCCTGGGCAACAGAGTGAGACCCTGTCTCAAAACAAGACAAAACCAAAAAGATTTGTAAGGAAAACTTTCAGGAGGAATTGGAAATACTTCATGGAAAAGTTGGTTTTTGAATTTAAGGCCATAAAGAATGGATGAAATCTGGAAAGCTGGAGGGGGATTGGCATACCATGAAGGGGAAACATCAGGAGAAAACCCTGGGAGACAGAGAAGGACTGGTTAGTTTAGGGAAGGGTGAGAACTCCGATTTAAGGGACATGCACGGTAAATCTAAGCAACTCTCGGGAGGGACCTGTTTTGCAGGGTCTTGGATGCTAAGCTGGGCTGAGGAGTTTCTAATTTGCCAAGGGACTGTTCAAGGCTGTGGAGCAGTGGAAAGATTGATGGCAGCTGGCACACAGGATTTAGAGATTGTTGAATAGCAGCATGCAGACAGGAGTATATTTGGAAATGACTGAAGCCAGTTAAAAGACTTAGGATAGTCCAAGAAAGAATGAGTGACGGAAACCTGACTGTAGGCAGCAGAAACTCACAGGATGGGGAAAGATCCAAAACTCTTGGTGGAGATATCATCCATGGGATTTTGGCAAATATTAGGGAGACAGTGACACAGAAGCAGATTTGGGGATGAGTTCTTTTGGGGGCATGTTGAGCTTCAAGCAACAGTAGGAAGTCCAATTAGAGATGCCCAGAGGGCAGCTGGAATTGCCACCTGAGTTTGCGAAGGGAGAATTAGGAAGAATGAGATTTTCTGCTGAGGTGATAGTTGACACTATGGGAAAAGAGGTGATTGCAGAAGTGCAAAAGGATGAGATCAGAGGTAAAAAATCCTCCTTAGAGGATCTTAGTGTGGATCCATCTGCTTGAAGAAAGGCTTGTCAAGGAAGTTGTTATGTATAAAATAAAAATAGTGACTGAGGCTGGGCACGGTGGCTCATTCCTATAATCCCAGCACTTTGGGAGGCCGAGGTGGACAGATCACCTGAGGTCAGGAGTTGCAGACCTGGCCTACATGGTGAAACCCCATCTCTACTAAAAATACAAAAAATTAGCTGACCATGGTGGCAGGTGCTTATAATCCCAGCTACTCAGGAGGCTGAGGCAGGAAAATTGCTTGAACTGGGAGGTGGACCTTGCAGTGAGCCAAGATCCCACCTCTGCACTCTCGCCTGAGCAACAGAGACTCCATCACAAACACACACACACACACACACACACACACAAAGTGAGTGAAAGCATTTAAACCTACCAGGACCCGATATCTTGACCTAAGATGCTGGTTATCAGTTAAGAGCACAATTGTACTATGGAGAAAACAATCAGGTGACATGAAGGAAGAACTGCAAGGAATGAATTGGCAAATTTATCTTTCAAAACTCCTCATACAGAAAAGACTTAACAAGGAGAGGAGAACCACCCCTGTGATTTTAATAAAGTTTGGATGACAGGCTAGGCCTCCCGATTTGTGATATTTGGGATCACCCGGTTTGGTTTTATTTTTATAACTGTTGTCCTGAAATAACCTCTGTTCTGCTTCCTCCTTTTGGTTTGTTTTACTCTGTCCAGTGTAGTAGGAGTAGGCATAGATAATTCCCCTTTAAAATATAAACCTAAATAATAGGTTAAGAGAGATCCACCATAAAACCCATTCCTGCACCGAGTAATTTTTCCTGCTTGTTCCAGCACTGGAAGTTGATCCTGTATTTTTACCTGGTGATTTCCTGGGTAGAGCTACAACCTGAACAAACATTTATTCTAGCCAGAAAACACTTCAAATGGCAAGATGACTCTTTCAATATTTACTAATCTGCTATTAGCTTAAGCCAGTACACCCCTAATGACTTTCAAACATACAAAGAAAAGTTAATAAATCTGAATGATAGCTATCATACTCTTAAGTCACTAGGTTACTGGCAAATAATGGTATAGAGCATATAATGATTGAGGAAATAACTACTATAAAATACATAACAAAACATTACCATGGAAATGAACCCATTTATACTGGCCTGAGAGTCTACTCACAGCCAGCTTCTCAGCAAGTGAAAGGGAAGCTCAATTCTGTCCCGCTCCACT